TGCCTCTAATGCAAGGAAACACCCCTCTGACATGAACGCATGCTGGGCCTCCTGAGGAGGCCCTTGCGACTTGCAAGAGGAGGGCAAAGACGGTATGGTGTCATTGAAGACAACGCCAATAATGTTGACCTGCTTGTGTACGATGAAATGGAGACCAATGGAGACCTCAACATTGGTGTGGAGGGGTGCGTAGAGACTAATGGAGATGAATGGGTGATGGTGCCCAAAATTGTTTAAGTCATTACTGCATTGGAAAAAGTGAATGTTGTAGAGTGAAATAGGAATTTGATTGCAGTTAATAACTGAGTAAGATAGCTCCGATTTTGATAGATAAAAAGGCGTGCAATCTAAGCATTAATTTAGCACAAATGATCCACATGTCAAATTGTTGATTGGTGGCCGGGAGTGTTGAGAAGGGGCTGAGCAAAATCAAGTGGGAATGCACAAATGGGCCTTTGGCTTTACCCTGGATAGATGGCGATGAGGTGAACCGGTTTTGGCTATTGGGTGATAGAATCAAGGTGGTTCATGCATGGGTATTGATGGGACAGGCAAAGGAAAGCCTTAAAGATCAGTGGATAATCCCGAATATTCAGGAACTGCTTATGGAATCTCCGAGGAGGGGGTGGGGTTGCAGGGGGCTTATAAATAGCAGATGTGGTGTGGATACTTGGGGTTAAACAGTTATTGACATTTTTTATAGCGATAATTACGTAATTTGGTAAATGAACCTTTTGGGAGGGTTATTTAGAGCTTCCTAATTCCAACACACTTCTAAACGCCCGATTCCGTTAAGAAACGGCAAAGATATGGCCTCCTAAAATTATACTACTTAGAGCCAGGGGGTCGGGTGTTAGATGCTTGGAATTGATGTGGCCACAATGGACCCGCGATCATGCATCGCACATGCGATATGTGCGTGCGCATGCTGTGAATTCTGTAACCTCATTCGTGGCCCACTCTCTGGCCTCCCGTGAGCCAGCAAACCACCATCATGCTGCACGACCACCTCTCGCTGACAGCAGGCCCCGGGGATCAGTTCCCGTTGAGCATTGGGCCCACTGTGCGACAATGGAAACGATTGCCTTGGGTATGCCCAACGTCCAAGGTGGAGAAGCTGGCTGACCTCTACGAGCCGTGTTGTAGGGCAGTGCGACCCCAACGACTCAAGAAACCAGCGCCTGCTGATGGTGCCGCAACAATGGGGTTGTGCCCTATTCGGACAAGCAGTTCGGGTTGGCTTGTATCCAAGCGCATAAACCAAGGAGATTAAGGGGAAGAACCGAACAGCATTTCAATATGAAACAAGTTGCAGCCTATGCAAACTCCATTGTAATGATTACTTGATTCATCTTCCGTGTACTTTGCTTAAGGGTGGAAGCAAAATACTGCTGATCTATTGGGAAAACCTGAGGGGCGCCAAAATCAGCAGTATGTATTGCTAAACCCAAGGCCTAGAATACTGGGGAAGCCTGCGCGGTCCCAAGTCAGGCCTAGTGCCTAGTGGGAACGCCTTCAGAGCCCCCAGTGGGTCAATGAAGTGAAAGGCAAGGAATTGAATCCATATACTTATTGTTTCAATAATTGAGGTTATTTAGTGAAAGTTAAATAAGGATTCGACTATGTTGAGGAGCGTCCGGCTGCGATGTATAAGGGAGGGACGTATATTGAGGTCCAAAAGGACTTGAAGGTAAGTGGTGTTGAGAAAACAATTAGTACTCAAATCAGTTCATTGTAGGTCTCATTAGAAACCAACTGAGCCACTTCATCATTGAGGTCCAGTGGAGCATAGGGGGGTCAGAGCAGACATTGGTAGTTCATTAAGAAGCAATCAGAACATAATTGCACTTCGTTACATGTTGTCCCTTGTCAAATACAACCTTGAGGGTAAGGCATGATCCAGCTCAAGAAAGAGAAACAAAACCAAATAGAGCCTTGTGATATAGAGCCCCGCCTTCAAAACGCGTAAAGACCGAGTGTCTGCCAGCTCCTGTTAAGGTCGAGCTGCAAAAAAGAACACGAGAGGTTAGGGGACAGCCCTTGACTAGGAGTTAGGCTCAGCAGTTGTGAAAGAGCTGGAAGGAGCTGTCAGAAAAAGCCATTGAAAACTGGGGTGTGTGAGGTGCACATAGGACCAATAGAAAGCTGGGCGTTATGGTATATGCTGACAACGTGTTGGTGTCATTTGGCAGTGCTCATAGTCCTGGAAACGATGCCAAGGACTGGCTGGGCATGTTCATACATGCTAACCAACTGTTCCAGCTTTGATGCTCCAGTCTGCTTTCGGTTGGTGCTGCGTTACTTACTCTGGTTTGTGTCAATCTATTTGCCTATGGCTCGATTCTGACTACGAGGCTTGCTAGGCTAATTCGAAGACTGAGTTAACTGATCTGGCTCATCTTTTGTTCCTTAATGCCCAGTGAGTCATTGCAGCTGGCCAATTTGGCTAGGGAACTTGTGCGGGTGAAAGAGCAGTTGGGTTTCTTGTGGAATTTGGAGCGCGCAAGATGCGGGCAGCTTAGGCAGACAGACGGAACAACATCAGTCATGGCGCAGCCTGTGACAGGACTCATTTCCGGTTCAGCCAGCTTCCCTAATCACTTTCAACTTCTCTGTACGTTTGCATTAGGGATTGTAGTGGGTTGCTGCCTGTCGCTTGGGTGCCTCTGTTTGGTCGTAATGATCGGGCGTCCGCTCTGACTCATATATGCGTGGCCATGACTCACCAGCCATAATCGGCAGTCACACGTGATGGCCATTCAACACCTGCCAGAACTCTCCGCAGTCCATGACGTCTCAACCCAGCCGTGGATCCACTTCCGGGTACTTTGTTTGGGCTGTCTTTGCCACAACCCTTCACAAGTAAAAAAATCGGCCAAAATGCAAGGTTTCGAACTGTATAAGAATCGTGTAAGACTGTGTCAAAATGTGTAGAAATCATGTACACTCAATCGCTATTACATAGTTTAGTCCCATTTTTGTATGTTAAACACACGATAGCTGCACGATTTTTTCACCATTTTTAGTCGTGTTATATGGTATATGATTCTCAAAACCGTGTATTTGGTCAGCTTTTTATTAGTAGTTGCACTGTTGTACAACATTTGGACCCAGTGGCCCCTCGTTACCGCCTCCACAGCTTGCCTAGAGTAACTACCCGGCCGGCCGTGGTCAACTGGTCGAGCGTGCGGCTCCGTAGGGCCAGTGTTGGGATCCCCAGTCCACTCCGCGTTGCACTGTCTTCAATTGTCCCAGGGTGGCACGTATTGTGCCAGTAGCAGGCGCGTGTTGCGATTCTGACAGATTGTTGCCGCGTGGTGCCTGTATTGTCTTTGAACAATCCAGCTCGTGAAAATTTCGTTGCAGTTGCACTAATGCCCTTCACATTCTGCTACTGGGTGATGAGCACAGCAATAATCTTGGGAATTTTAACATTCAGAAGAACTTTCCTGCGCCCAGTAGAGTCTGCAGGGTTCAGAGGCTTTTCTACAGCTGTTCTGATTGTGGCAATCGAGAGGTACGCACACACACACTAAACATACATTGCTCCAAAACCCGCCAAATGCAAAGCATTGTCCATGCAAAAAACTTCACTCAGTGTCTTGTTGATTTGCATACGAAAGGTGTTTGCACCTTGCACCCGTACATTAATTGTTCTTGATGAATTGGGCCACATTAGTCGCCGCTGGCGTCCGTTATGTTGTTCACATGGGCATCTTGGTGACATCCATTTCAACTGTGACGTCAAGCCCGTACTAGTACAACGGACGTGCTCCAAGGGCTGGCGGTCTGTAACCTCCTGGAAGCTGGTGTCGACCGACTGATGGGCGTGGGATCTGCCTGCGTGGGTTGTTCACTTTTGCACACACAAGCGCATTGCATGTTCCTGTTTGTGCCCGGATTGCGTGCAGGGCTGTTGGGGCTGCATATCATTCTCAGGGATGCGGCCTGGTTGGCCAACTTCTATACTAACGCCCCTCAGACAAGCGGGCTTCTGGCGCTCTGGCCGAAGCGCATTCACGCAGTCCCTTGTCAGCATCGGGCGCTGAGATCAAATCCGAACGGATCATGCCACAAACAGCAACCCCCGATAGCAGGCAGACAACGTGGCAAGGGCGACGCACCCTTCAATTCAAGGGGACCCATGCCGTGTAGGCATCCCCTCCTATTTACTTTGGCCAAGAATACCAATACAACCCAAACTCTGCACAATCTCATGCTCCCAACGTTCTGAGCATAGAGCGCAAGCAGCCCGGGACTCCAGCAAAGGCGCCAGGCAAAACCGAAGACAGCTCTCCGTAATGCGGCGCCCAAGCAGAGCACATGCACCGTCTGCACTTCCCAACCTTCCTGTCACCCCTCCGAGGTTGTACACACACGGGCCAGATTCGGCTCACTCCCACAGTCAAACGACAGGCAAAGGGGCCAAAAACCACAGACCGGGTCGTGCCCGCCCCTAAACTTCCATTGCGAGGGCAGCTGCACTCCTTTGCACTGTGCAACTATATCTCATGTATTGACATTTCTCTCTGAATCATGCGTTTCTGCTGCAGCAGGCGAAAACCTCCACACGGCTGGCCCAACCATGCCCACGACAATTCGCACCCGGCGCCAGCTCAAAGTGCGACCATCGTGGCCAGCCAAAAAGGTTGGACCCAGCACAGCCGTGCGGACTGCTGCAGCGAAAGAAAAAAACACACCCCATCCGTTGTATGCAGCAAAAGACAAAACGTGGGCTTCATCATGCATTGCTCATCCACCAGGCAGCAAGCGAGGAGTCACCATATCGGACACACCAGCAATGCCAGATGCACCGAATCAGCGAATGTACAGAGTTCTCCTGCTGGTGAGTTAACATATTGCCTGATATGGCACCCGAAACAAATCCCAAAAAAAAACAGCTGAAATAGGCAGGACGAAGACAACCAAGTTGCCACACTCTGGGCCTCTGGTTAGACTGCCAGCCACCAATGAGTCGATGCGATCGGCACGTCGGCACGTCATTTCTGGGACATCTGCTGTGGCGACTGTCTCACTCCACTCATGGACTCTGAGTGACTCCAACCTGAGCATAACAAATTGAAACGTACTGAAGGGACGGCCAGGGCTTACAAGAGCAAAACAAATCTCTTGGCACTGCACAACATAACTCCGGGTGAAGATGCTAAGACGGCAAAGAAACAGGAAAAGAGGCCATCGAAAGTATCGAGTTGCATTCCCTTCCAAGAAAAGAGTAGGTTTGGTGCACATCCACTTAACCACGCGGTGATGAGCACTGACAATCAACCAAAGAGCCAATCCAGAATCAGAAAACAACAATCTTGATGAGATGGCTGCTTTCATCGCCTCAGGGGCCAGGCACCCGCAGCACTGTGAAAATGAGCAACCCTTCCACCACTTTGGGGCAGAGTTTGTCTCTGCATCCACCCTCTCCAAAAGGAGGGGATTGTGAGTGCAATAACCTTCAGCAGCACTGCTGTCACACCACCACAACCCACCAGACTGCATCAGCAAATTCAACAGCTGTGAATTGCCCTCATCGGGAAGAGGAGCAGCCCCTGGCGCAGGAGGCTGACCCACTGCCTTGGGTCTCATTCCCATCTGCATGTTCTGACTCTGCATCAGCAATAACTGCGCTAAGCAGTTCTGTTGCATCTGATTCTGCACATAGGGATTCGCTCCCAGCTGGCTCAGCAGCATGCCAATCGACTCAGGGGTCATTCCTGGCAGGACAACCACAAGAACCACGATGAGCTAGACAGCACATAACCATCCATTGAGCTTGACAGTGCTTCAGCAGGTGTGCCGTTGGTAGCATGATCCATGAACAGTTCGCTTTACACAATTCATAAACAGCAAGGGAGAGCGAGGGCCGCCCAAACCAAATAACTTCCATATCCTGTCAGCACATGCTGCTACTGGCACAGGCAGGAATACTGGGTTTGCACAGAGCATTTCAAACTGCCAGAAAATGAACTGCAGTGCCATGAACAACAATGCCATGGCCTCGCAGGTAAAAAGAGCGGCTCTCTGCACATCTTGGCAAAGGGCATGCACTCATGCATTGTCTTTCACTGGTGGACAATGACCATTTGCCAACCTCACCTGATGATGCCATGGAGGCCACCGGTGGAAATGAGCAGTCATTGTTGGCCAGTGCACAGGACTCCCCTGGTCTTTGTCTACCACTCCCGTCACAGCCGGTGCTGTCTGCTGCACCCTTCATTGCTCCCACTGAGCAGCACAAGTGGAGTCACTGCAATGTCAGCAGTGCCCCACACTGTCTTGTGGGGATAACAAGCGATCTTTGGTTCATGTGACAGAGGGAATAATAGAAGAATCGCAGGGAAAGCATTAGGGTCGCAGGGTGAAAGCCAATGCACAAACAAAGTCTTTGGTGTGACAACAGAATTCCCAAGAAGACAATGGCGATTGTCAAGCATTGTATATTTCACCAGTCATCTTTGGCAACATCTGGTAACCATACATGTTCTCAGCCAGGCACATTGGCACAAGGTGCAACTATCGGCAATGTTTAAAAACTTGGATGCAACTTCTGGCACCGTTCGAAAGAATTTGGATGTGGACTGCAGCTGTTTGAGTGCAAGGAGGTGCAGCAGACAAGACAAGGGGCAAGCAATGCACACAAGCCCATATTCGATGTTAAAGGCAAAGGCAGCCATGAACAAAGCACACTGTGGAAGCAAGATAGTTACGTTATGTATACTGCTGGGGGGCCGCTTGCCAGGCAGGTCTAACTCACTTGGGTTTGAGCCCCATTGCTGGTGCCCATGCATCAAGAACGGCCCAGTTGGGCTTGCAGCTGTGCTTGGCATCCATGAGGTGACTAGCAAGGACTGTGACAAGTCAGGTGCTCCCTGCATGGCAGTGGTCCATCGCGATGGATCCATATGATTCCATGCACTCTGCCCATTGTGGCCACTCGCCTTGCCCCCATCGCTCCCACCGCCTTGGCTGGAGTGGCTTGAGTTGTTACTGCCATTCAGAACGTTGCTCCCCACAAACGATTCGTTGACATTGGCAGACGAATTTTGCATGCTGCCATAGGCACTGCACAGGCTACTGCCCAGCACACAGGCAGGGCCGCTGGAGGTGCCCTCACCAGGGTTGGGGACAAAAGGAAATGGCCCTGGTGCCATTCGCGAAAATCTCCAAGCAGTCTGATCGTCCTGGTTACTGGATGGCGCAGAGCATGGAGCAGATCGGAGCAGGGGATTGTACTGCTGGAGAGCCGTTGAGATAGCCTCGAATCCATCGAGTGCCTTCATACCACAGGCACAGGTCAGGCTGTGCCACAGCATCAAAGGCAACAAGGAGACAACAAAAGATAAAGGGCAAGGCAAATCTTGACAAGGACCACCACCTGGCTTCACCTATAAACTAAACTGGCAAAACATATTGAGCACAATACTGAGGGGAAAGCTCACTCATGGTAAAAGAACATGGCGCCACTTGTTTCACTTCTGCAAACAGGGCAAGGGAAGAAAATGAGACGGAAGTGGAGACTGTGCGTGTACCTTTGTAGAAGCTGAGAAGTTGACCACAAGTTCATGGGCCTTATGGTTACTATGGAGGTGATGTACACTAAGAAGATGACTCGTCCACCCCCCAAGAGCCCCCATGCTTAGAGATTACGCATTGGGGTTAACTAATATTAGTATAGCAGTTACTGTTCTGTCAAGCATCAGCCAAACAGCTTGCCTAAACTAGCAACAATTGCACACCTCATGTGCAGGCTTGCTGTCACTTGTGGACTGCCTTTGCCTTTTTCGATCCCTTCCAGGCTGCTGCTTCATCGCCTGTTCCGCACTCCACCAGCATGGCAACTGCACCCCACAAAATGAAAATACAGCTAAATGGCGTGATAGGTTGAATGCCACTTGCGGTGGGAAGAACTTTTGGTGGTGGCACACATGAGGCAAGTCCAACATGTGCCAATAAGCAGGAGCACCATCACTGTGCAAACGCACCAGATATTTGAAGCAGGACATTTTGTACCTTGCTCGATCCTGGGAAGTTGCTGGTCCCAGCAGGGGCACTATGGGTAGAAGGCGCATCCGCCAAGGGTTTGCCACCTAGGCATCGTGAGCAAGTGATAACGACAATCAGCATGTTGCTGCCTGGATAACATACTGGAAAAGGTCATCACCCCTGGCAGGGTGTGTTCCGACTGACTAACCTTGTTGACTACAGCTCAACAATGCACAAAACCACCCCATCGCACAAATAGCTTTAGGGGCTGCTTCAAATGTGCTACCACTGCAAATATTTGAAATGATCCTGGCACTAGCTGACTGTTGAAATAAAAGGGGTCAATGGAACGTGTCCGTCATGCTCTGCAAAAGGCACAAGGTCACAACGTTGTTCCCAAAAGGCAGTTGTATTCAGATCGGATCTTTACAGCAAGGACAAGTTTCAAACCCACCTTTGACATGCACGAGCTGTGGGATTTTCTCTGCTTGGACCATGTTCTCACCTCCCTGGGCGCAGTGTCGGTTCATATGGATTGCTGGTTTTGCTCTTTGTCAACTGGCTGGCACAAGTGCAACCAATCGGCTGTGTGACCTTATCAATGCGCATGGATGGACAAAATGAGCTGGATGTTGCCACCAGTCTCACAGTTTGTCAGGTACAGCAGCTTTATTTCTTGTCTTGTTGACAATGCCATCAGCAGATTCAGAGTTCACAAGCACCACAGGGCAGGACACTCACCTCTTGGGTGCCATGCTGGGAAAGGGGGCAAGGGTGCCTGACTGCCACTGGCAATATGCCACAAAGCCCACTTCAAAGCAGCCTGTGCCTCGGGGTCCATTGGCGGCCGCCAGCCATTCTCCACTGGAAAATTCTGCCCTGGTGGCTGAATTGGACCAGCTTGTTGCATCCAAGGTGAGGGTGGCCCCTAAATTCATGATCGCTGTTAGCTTCATGGGAATGCTGCTGACAGCACATTGAGAGGACGAGACTGCAGGATATGGACACACTGGAAATTTATAGCAAAGCATACACTGTTCTTAGTTTCTCAGCATCTGTGCGGTCCAAGGAACAACATTCATGAACCATATCAAGAAGAATGTGGCAGCGGTACGGGTGGGAAGAAAGGGCACCATTGGAACAACAGTCACAGGCAAAAAAAGATAGGCAACGCAACGATCGTCCCTTTGTTGCTAGGACCGCCATGCAGGTTTGTCCAGGCATACTCACCCCAGCAGCTGCTCCAGGGACACCAGATGGGCATCCAGCATTGCCTGCTGGGTTGTCCTGTGCAAGAGCTCTACACCACAAGAAAACAATGCAGTCAGTAACAAGGTGCAAAATGGCACCTGTACTCTGCATGAAAGGTCAGCACACAATCATGCCAGGCAAGGAGGCGACTGTATTTTGCGTGTTGGGACTGAACCATAGGCAAATTGTTGAAAAGAATGTTCAGCACAGGAAGTGCTGCTCTGGGAAAATGCCTTCACCTTTGTGTCATCTGTGCACTGCTGGGGGGTCCAATCCTGACATATGGAAGACTAATTACTAACACAGATGCAATTCTTCAGGAATCAACTCTGCCATATGTAGCAGGCTTCACTCTCAACTCCTCATTTGGAAAATCATTCCCCCACTCTTCTGTCTGCTGGGCTCGTGCAGTTCGACAAACCTGTCCTGAAACCCCTGAGCAGGTGGCATCGAGGCAGTGGACACTTTCAGTTGTTCTGCTTTTGTGAGCGTTTCAGCAAACGTCCCCTCTTTGGATTCCACTGCATCATCCTGCGTGTGGCATGGGCACCTGAGTCAGCACAAGCCCACAGCAACAGATGCCACGAGGATGCAGTTCCCTGTTCTCGAAATATAGCAACAGGAGCCCACCAGAGCTTTTCTGATGCGGGCTTCAGGCAGACTTTGTGGCGTGAAAAGCGTCTTGCGTAATGAACGTAGACAAGTGACATGACTAATATGTGCTGGCTCAGCATTGCAACGCTGGCCTCAGTCAGCCTTTAGATTAAGGAGTGTCCATACATGCAACAATGTTCTTGCACCCAGAAGGCTCTGACGGTCATGTGCGAGCGCAGGCTGTCTGCTCCCGTAGTGTGACTCATTTGCTCTCGGAACAAGCGAAGTAGATGCCAAAATTGCCCATTATCTACTTGTGACCCGCGACACAAGGACCAAGGCACATTCATGTCAGCATCCTGACATAGCCTAACAGGTCAACTGGCACTGATTTGTCCTGGTCCTGACAACCACGGCTATGAGGATTGGATCTGAGCTGCATCCCCACCTTTGATGCTTGAGCAGAGGGCGCTTGATCAATGTGAGTTGCACCCATCACCTGGGGATTGAACAAAAGAGGCAAAGAGAGTCAGAGAGGTGAGCCTTCAACACAGCAAGCCTTTGCAAACATGGAGGCGCAGCCAGCTTCCTCAAGGGGACTGTGTCTGGAGTCCTGTCACTTCCTTGTCATAAATGACAAGCCACCACCCCTGAATCTGTTGGGCGACGACTTTTGCAATTCAATCCATGACGGTTACCACCAGACTCACTCAAGAAGTCAAAGAGTTTGAAGAGCCAAGAAAAGGCCTACTCAACGGAATAGGGAGGGGGCTTGAGCGGTGTAGCAAAAGTGAACTTCCGGACATGCACAATGGCTCCAAGAGGCAGTCTTGTGCACTGAACCATGTTGCACCACAGGGTGTGCCCTATACCTGTGGTAATTGCATGTTGCAAATGTAGCCAAGCACCGAAGGTGGTATCCCAAAGAACGGGCTTCCCTGCGGCGGTTGCCTCTGCAGGCAGGCCAAGGCATGAGGGTCAGCCAGCTTGTCAGTCATGCAACTCTTCAAAGGTGTAATTCCCGCTATGGCATTGACATATCCGCAGATTCAGGTTGGAACTAAGCTGGAGTCCCAGCGGTGCCGACGTGGCACCTGAAAGTAACCATGGATCTGTCTCCCACACCTAAAGCGGGCGAATATCACATTGAAGCAACAACAACATTGATACCAACCAGCTGCAAGTGAAAGCATGCATGTGTGCCAGAGTGGTGCTGATTGCACAACATTGATCAATCAATTCAGTAGGTCCACGGTGGCAGCCCAGAACACTAACAGGCACCCACTGCAGACAAGGTTGGGCATTGATCATTATCTCCCAACCTGGAGCGGATGTTTTGACACTGTGTCATGTGTGACCAGTGCATGCCCATGGAACCAAACATAGGCCTACAACCTGGGGTACTGGCCTTGTTGGCAGCTATGCTCCCTGACTGCAGCAAATCACTCGGCACGTCCGAATGAATTATCACAGCTGTGTGGGTGCCTTCCCCATCAGGATCCCGTCTTTCCCCCAATAAACAGAAGTTATTCTGCGCCATCCCTCGCCATCAACACCGCTCTGACGCACAACCGACCACGTGCGCACGAAGGCCAACAAACGTCCAAAAGAAGCCCGTCTACACACTGCTGTAACCAGGGCTGACCGAGCATTATTAACAGCTGGACGCACAGAGGGGCCGAGGCAACAGGAACCGAATTTAGGATACCGACGAACGGACCAGATACAAGGGACAACATCCCTGTTGGTCCCTCTTCTCCGCAGTGCACTCGAGCCCATGGTCCCACTCGACCCGCCTGCCTTCGTCAGCGCCACCGAATGCCCTGTGTCCGCAGCTGGAACGTGCCCCACAGCCCCCTCTCTCCCCCCACGCCCCCAGCGGCGCCCACCGCCGCGCCCCGCGCACACTTCAGCTCACCCCCCGGCGGGCCCCACCTGCAGGTACTCGCGCACCGCTGGCCCCGCCGCGGCCACCACGGCCGCCGCTGCGGCGCCCGCGGCCACCGATGCCGCCAGCGCCACTGCCGCCGCCGACCTCTGCGTCTGGGCACCGCCGTCCTCCTGGCACGGCGGCTCGCCGCCGGATGGGCACCCGGACGGGGGCTCGCCTGCCGCATCCCCTCCGGAGCTGGCCGCCAGCCGCTCCTTCTTGGGGTACGGTCGGCTAGGCTTGCGCTTGGGCCTGGGCGGCGGGATCTGGAGGTCGTCTGCGAGCGGGGGGAGGTACACTTGTTACAGGGACAGAAAGAGGTCATACAAATGGCAACCCATCCTAAGCAGTGTATGCGAGGCTCTTTTCCATGCTGTGAAAAGATGATACAGCCCGGGGGAGGGGACAGAAGTGGGGGTGAGAAGAGGAGCTGGGAAAAGTGGATTGGTGGTGCCGGCGCGGGGACGAGCGCCTCTGCACGAGCGAGGTTGATGCGCCATATCGTCCTGGCTCGAGCCGTCGAGGGCGAGCGTGATGCGGCAACGCGGGCGGGGCCGGCTTTGCATCAGGGCGGAACCTCGCCGGCGCGTCGTGCGCGGTTGAGAAGACCCTTCGCGGCCTGACGTCGCCCCCGGGGCGTTGGCGGCGGCGGTAGCTGCACTGGGGCAATCACGACGCACCGTCCGGCCTCAGGCCCATCGCCCGCTGCTTCTCCACCTTGGTGAAGAACTTCTGCGCGTGGCTCCGGATCTGCACCGACGACTTCGTGCCGATGTACTCTGCAACCCACGCGAAAGCCCACGCATCAGAACCGAACCCCGCACGGCGCGCCGGGCGGCCAACCGCCGGCCCAGGGCCGTGACGGCGCTCCACGCAACCGCCGGTCCCTCCGACTGCCCCATACCCGGCTTCCCTCCCCCGCCCGAAACAGATTCAGGCCAACGCCAGGAGCCACGTCACCCAACCCTCCAACCGCCGTCCCGCAGCACGGCGCCTCTGCGCCTCGACCCACTGCCGGCTTGCGCTGACTCCTGTCCACGACCGGTTGCGCCCGTCCATTGCGCTACAGGCTGAGGCCTGCCGCCAGCGCGCCACACACTCAAAGCCCTCCACAGACCGATCCCCGCAGCCCCAATCCCGGTCCCCTCACCCACCCACCCTCCCAACGAAAGGCGGCCCCGCCAGCCAATATCCTCCCCACCCACCCACTCACCCACCTGCCACCATCCCCTTTCTAGCCCTCCCACAAAAACACCCATACACCCAAAACCGTGCCGCCGGGCCTGGCTTGTTGGGTTCCCGGGCAAACAACACTTGGGGTATTTCGCAGCCCACAACGTGCCCGGCACACCCTCGCTGTTCCCGAGCCTGATGGTATTCAGCGCACGGCTGCAACATCTTGACACGCATGCCCAAACCCACGCACGCACCTTCGCCTTCCCGCCCTCCTGCGCGCCGCCCCCCTGCGAGGGCAGCGCCGGCGCGCCCTCCCCGTCCCACCCGCCTCCGACCTCCTGGGTTCCCGCCGCGCTGAGCGCCGCGCCCTCGGACCGCGGCAGGCCCTCGCTGGAGGCCACCCCGGAGCTGGCCCCTCCTTCCCTCCCCTCCTCCCTGCCTTCCGTTGAGGGCTGGCCTTCACAAAACATCCCGCCCACCCACACAAACCCACACACAAACGGGATCTGATGCCACCCAGCTCCCCCTCAGCGGCCCTCCTCACCCCGTGGCCGGCGCCAAGCACCGTTCCGCGACCTCTGCCCGTCCGTTGGGCGCCCGCCCCGCCAGCGGCTTTTTGCTTTGCGCCCTACTTTACCCCCCGGCCCCGCAGGGGTCGCTTTTCGCCGCTTTTGCCGCTGCACCCCGGGCCCCTTTTTCGCCCTGACGCCCCCAAGATTCGTTGGAGGTCAGGCGGATTTGGGCCGTATCTAAGCGGGTTGTATCCGATCCAACGGCGCCCAGGGGAGTGATTTGGGCACCCCAGTTTTCTCTGCCATCCCCGATTCTGTCGTCGGTCGTGGATCCGACAGCGCGGCGGGCCCATCAAACTGAGGCCACTAGTGGGAGGGCGAGTGCTTGGCAGCCATCCAAAACGTATCAACGGACGGCGCGCACACCCGCCAAAATCTTGCGCGGGTGGGCATGTCCACAAAGGGCACGAGGGGCCTGCGGGCGCGCCGGGCGCCGTGTGCCTTGCTGGGCATTAGGTGGTGGCGACGTGGCCTGTCTTTGCGGACCTTTAGCTGGCGGAGAGCGGGGCGGCGGCATGGAAATAGTCGCCCGGTCTTTTCCGTTCAGACCCCTTCTTGTTTCGGACACCCTGGGCCCGAAAACCACTGACCCGCTGACCGGCGTTCGCCATGTCAGCGGAAGAAGAAACGATCCTAACGGAAAAGACAGATGGAGTAAACTTGTTGGGACACCGCAAGAGGGTATATCCCTCACGCCCTGTTTGATGCACGCCCCCGGCTTGAACGTCCATGAAGTGTTACACCCTTGAAAGGGTTCGACCTTTCACAGTGTTCATTATCCACTCAGCGCCCATCGACTTATTCTGACACCCTCTTTGCGCCACCTGTGGCCCCCGTGTGCTTCTTTGAAAAGGAAGAAGGAGAAAATGCACGTGCGAGCGTGAGTGGTGTGATTCCGTCCTTGCCCCCGAAACATTGCTCCTAAGCTTGCAAAGCCGAAGGATAGATCAAGGCTTGCTGGTGACCAGTTCCCGAGCAAGGGAGCGCTTGGACCAGTTCAATTTCGAAAGACCAGTCGGTTCCTGCTGTTTAGCGGCCCTCGCGGTGACAATGAGCAAAACGGGCCGTAACTGCTTATTCACCACCCCAAGCCTTGAAGCAACATCTGGAAAGCTTCGAGCTTGGGCCTGCTTCCTCCACATTCTTGTGTTCATTTTCCCGATTCCTGTCCTCAACCTCTCCTGCCAGTCGATGCAGCTGCTTTGGGGACGTTTGAAGTGACTCCTTGTAACATGGAGCAATTCTGTTCCATTTTCTTGGCGCATTTTCCCACATGCCTTTTCACGGCTGCCCTGATGACACTGCTGCTCTGTCTCCTCAAGCAGGTTTCCCGACCCCCAAGAACATTGCGGCATAGACGAGGGGACAATCGTTGCTCAACACGGCCCCGGCAACCGCCACAACAGTCCGCAATTCCCGGGACGGGCCTTCCACACATCCCCACCACCACCCGGAGAATATTTAGCTACACTGTCAAACAGCAGGGTACCCTCCTCCTCCGACGCGGTCTGCAGTTCATCAAATCCCCTGCCAAACACCGGTCGTGGTGAACCCCAAGGAGGGAGGCTTTTCATCGAGTGACCGGGTCGGGGTATCCGGTGTTTGGGGGTCGCTGTTTGGGAATACCCCGCCCCAGCCACTCGATGACCCACCCCACCCTTCCGGTGTTTCACCAACAGCTTACCCCTCCAACATATCCTCCACCATATCCTGCCCCACCATATTCCCTGTGTCCACCATGTGGTGGATATCCTTGACTGCCATGATGTTGTTACGGCTAGAACTGATTGAGTGTTATAAATAACTGAATGTATGAAAAGATGACGAAGCACTAGGAATTACATTAAGGATGTTGATGAACGGACTGGGTATAAAGGACAGAGCGTCTGTTGTCCTTTTGCCTCGGCTGTAAACCGTTGCCGTGGACTTGAGCGTACGATTCCCGTTCAGGGATCGCCACCCCTCGACCCTGCCTGCCTTCGTCAATGTCACCATCACCAATGCTCTCCGTCCATTTTGCAGCCTGTTCCAGCGCAGGACCACTCCCCAGACCGCGCCCCCGCCCACCGCTGCGCCCCACGCGCGCTCCGCCGCCGTGTCTCGCCGCGCCGCGCCTCGCTCTACTTCCCCACGCGGACCCGATGGCATCCCCCGCCGAGGGCGAGCTGGGCATCTGGCAGCGCACGGCCGCCGCCGGGGGCGCGGCCGTCCTCTCCGTGCTGGTCACAACGCCGCTGGACGTTGTCAAGGTGGGCTGCTTGCGGCATGAATCGCGGGGCGATCGCGCATGATGGCAGGGAGATTTGGGCGAATCTCGGGTGCCCCTGTGTTGGGCTTCGTGGAGGTGCTGTTTGGTCGCCCGCTTGTGCTTGCCGGGGCCCAAAGCGTCGTTGGGAATCGCGGGGTCGACTCACGCGGTGCCGTGTCCGGTCGCAGAATCGGATGCAGGCGCAGCAGGCGGCTGTGGTGGAGAGGGAGTTCGCCCACGCGGCCTCGCAGTGAGTGCGCGTCGGCCCGTGCGCCTCTTGTGAGATTCTGGCGCCGTCGTCCGTGCGCATTGGGTTCGCCAGCAAATCTTGCTCAGCAGACTGAGGACAGGTCCTGCACTGGGAATTGGCCGGCCTTCTGAGCTGTCCGCCTACGCATGGAGTGTCGTTTCTGTTGCTATTGGTCAGGATGCGTGGGTTGTCGAAATCAGAAATGTTGTCTTCAGCCTTGGCTACTTGATTGGCGAACAGGTGGTTGAACGCAATCCGCTGAATGGGGGGGTAGTGTTGTTCGCTGGAGCCACATGAAGCTAGAAAAGAAAGAAACACCGCGCCATCGTGCATGAACGCGGGAAGCATGTGTGCACATGGTTTGGTTGCATTTTTGCACTGCCCGTCCATGGAGTTCTCAACTGCTTCTGAGTGTAGAATTCGGCATTTGGTGCGCCGTCGTCAAAATGTTTGGATCAAGCGAGTTTTGGAGGTGCGTATGCCCCTCAATGTATGTTGAGGCAAGGGCAGTTTAGACCTGTGTGGGCATATGTACTTTGAGCAATTTCAGTATTCGATAGTGGAGTCCATCAAGAAGAAGATGACTATCTTGAATGGTTGTGTTTGGGACAGGCCGAAAGTGGATTTTGGTGTAACACTGCGGTAGCAGTTTCAAATCTCAGGAAAGTTTGGAATTTATGTCCCACACGGGAGGTTGCAAGAGTTGCAAGAGCAGAAATTGGATGTTGCAATGAGCCAATGAGCCAAAGTTCACTGCAGTGACGTACTTCTCCTGCTCCTATTTCATATGCATCTTGCCTACTCTTGGAGACGACCGTTTGGTTGAGCGATTAGCCCTATGGAGGGGCAGAAGAACTGGATGTGTGGCTTTAGAAGCTCAACGTGCTCGACAGCCAGTTTTGCGTTTGCGTCACGTGTCAGGGCCTCCTTCCTGTCTCCTGCTGCATGCCACCCTGATGTCTGTCTAAGAGTCACCAACCCTGGACTCTCAACACTTTGCGCTCCAAGTTGCAGTCTGTACGAGTCAACATGGGATGGTATGAGGAAAATCATAAGACAGGTGAGTTGCTCCGCACCCATCTTCTAGCTATGTGTAGGATGTACTGGGTGCCATAATAGCATACTTGACAGCGCCCACTGGCCGCCGCCAAGGATTGAATGCCAAGCACTGAGTTCTTCAGGCTGTGATGGGTCGCTAGGTAGCCACACAATGCCTGAGATGTATCCACAGACGCTGACTGCAAGTTTTTGTGCTCCTGGAATTGCCAGGCTGCGTATTCAGCGGGCAACTACCGACCATTTTGACTGAGTACCTGTTTAACAAAGAACTGACGACCTGTAGTTAAGTTCAACTTGCTGTTGCAGTCAATTCGGACCATCACAAGACATTGCCATCGCTGCTTGACTGTTGCCTACCTTGCTACTCTTCCTTCCCTGAATAGTCATTGATCCCTTGCAGAGGATTGCCTGTTTGAATCCGCCAGAAGTTCATGTCAGGAGAAATGAATTGACACTTGCGGCTCATGGATTGATGGGTGTTGAATGCCAGGTTTGCCCAACACCTTTCTGATGCAAAGTGCGGTGATTTTTCATGTTTTGACAATTGTATTCAATGCACAATTCCAAGAGGCGCGGTTACCTATCAGAGCGATGCCTGAGATATTTTGGGGATTTCACGGGGACGTGGCAGTCACCTGGCCTCCCTGCTGTCTTTGTGAGATGATCAACTGTTGTTGAACGGCTCTACTGTCCTGATTTCAGGAGGGTGCCGTGGGGCTGTGGCGGGGAACCAATGCAGGCCTGTTGACAGCAGCACCCATGGTGGGAATGTATCTCCCGATGTACGATTACATCCTTCAGAGGCTGTCCCCTTTGGGGATTTATGCCCCTGTTGCTGCTGGCTGTGTGGCTCGGATAATCTCCATGTTTTTCGTTGCACCTCTGGATCTGTTGAGGACCCGAATGCAAGTGGCCAGCAGCCTGCGCCGCTACGATGGTGGTGGCAGCCACCAGGGGCCTGGCAGGCCACAGGGCGGGCAGCCAAGCTGGAAGGGGCAGTTTGATTGGGGCCAGGGAGTGACTGGGCGCGTCCGAATGATGTGGCGAGGCTATGGGGCCTCGGTGAGTATTGCCAGCTTATCTTGTGTGCAGATCTTCAATGACAACCTTGTTGAAATGTGACAATTCATCGATCAGGCCAGACACAACCTGATGGTGATACCATGGTCTGCCAACATCAGGGCTGTGACTCTTACAGACAGCATGTTCTGATAGACTGTGCACCATGTAGGCATGGAGCGCACACAAGGGGAAGAGTAAGGCAGACGTTCATTCTGTATGTGAAAAATTGGCACAGAATGCTAACCTTATGCATTCAAGGTGATGAGGAGCAATTTGCCAAGCACTAGTTTGCCCATCTGCCTGAAATTGTTGGCAGGGTGCGCATACAGCACTTGATCGTAGTCTGGTGGTATAACCCATTCATGCAACAAAGCGCCATTGAACACATCCAGATCCCAACATGCTGTAGGGATGTTTGCACACAGCATTCATGAGCTGCAGGACAAGAAACACGGTTTTCCCTGAACTGCTACAAGTTTTGACTGCCAATCAACCTACACTTCGTTGTTCTGGGCTTGAGTTGACACTGCTGATACCAAGGTGGGTGGAGTTTTCCACTGCTGTTTGAGGGTAGAGGTACAGTTCAGGGCAAAGATCAATGCACACGGTGCAGCTGAGCACATCTTGGATAGCTAAATTGCCATCCAATACAACCATCTGTACACTTCTCTTTAGAGCACCTGAGTCATTTGTGCTGGTTTCATTTTTTTCCCCATATGTCTGTGTGGTCTGGCGATGAACTCTAGAAGGGCAACATGAGGTGCAATGGTTGGTGACCGAAGTGCTGTTTGGCCAGCGGCGTTGTGAATGGCACAAATGTTCTGTAGATTCTACACAAAATGGCATCACAACAAGTCACACACTTGTACAGCATGTCAAACACAACATCATGTACAGCCGAGTTGACGGCCTTGACTTTTGTGCTATGGGTAACAGAGCTCATGATCACAGAGTTGTGTTGCGCATGCAATACCTTGTGAGAATTGCACCACACTGGTTTCATTTGCGGGACTGCTTACCTGGCATCGGATTGTGTGAGGCCAGCCCCCACTACCTTGGGGTGGGCAGGCAGTGCCAGGACATCATGGCCAATTCTCACAAGTGATGTTGTGAGCCCGAAGTCCTTCATCTCGTTGTGGCTGCCTGATGCAAGCCTTGCCCCTTACTTGTTATCACCTATGGAATGGAGACGATGCAGTTCAAGTGGGCTCCATTCCATGTCTATTGATGTTGACCTGTGTTCCTACCTTGTTGACCAGACCCATTTCTCTGTTCAGGTCTTGCGGGATGTGCCATTTTCTGCAGTTTACTGGGGTCTCTTGGAGCCAATGAGGTGGGACTCACAAGAACTTCCTGCCCTGTCTACCCAGTGCTCCTTCTAGCTGACCCACTGCAGTTGATGCAAATTGAGAGTGTGAGGCACTTGCCTTTGCAGTGCCATTGGCATATTTGCAGCTTTGTTGCCCCAACTGAACAGGAAGACCAGCTTTGAAAGCTTGTCCATGAATCTGCAGCTGTAGTGCCCTGATAGTGTGGTATAAATGGATGCACCACCCTCTTGTTTTGGTGGAATGCAGTACTGCATGGATGCAGATGGCTGGGTTGCCTTAAGTTAGCCAAATGATGGGCCTCTTGTTTGCACGGTATGCTGACCTGTGGCCATTTAGGTGTCGTATTTGTTTCTGCTGGCCCTTACCCCTTTGCGCCAGTGTGCTTTGATGCAGATCTCACATGCTTGCCAACCGGCACTCTGAGAGGCCCAGTCAATTTGATGTGTTGACAGCAAACGTTGTTGCAGGTGAGTAGCGCTCACCCACCTCTGTGCTTCTGGATCATGTCCTGTGAGGAGCAAAGGAAAATCACCAGGCTTCTTTCTGTGTGGGGGGGTGTTGGTTGCATTTCTGTGTTTCTTGTTGTTTTCCTTCTTTTTCTTCATTAGGCAACCAAAGGTGCTTGTCTCCCTTTTGTCTCTAGCGCAGTAACGATGCCCACAGGAGTCAGCCTCAGGCCTGTTGCCAGCCTTCACATTCGCTCCGATCTCCAGTCCTTTGAGGCATTTGATCTGCTCGCTCTCCTTCTCCATCCAAAGCCAGCAGTTAGTTGCAGTTGCCTGGGTGCGCGATTGGGATCACAGTGCATGGGAGTCCACTCTGCCAATGAGCTATGGAGTGCACCCCAGCTAGGTACTTTGCAGTTTGCACAAGGTTTTAAGTTGTCGACACTGGCAATCGTGGTATGACACCTACCTTGTGCGATGGAGGGCACTGTATGCATGCAGTTGGCCGCACATAACAGTTCATTTAGGATGCAGCTTTGGAAGAATCAGTAATTGAACCATGTGGAAACAACTTATTCCTAACAAATTCATGGCAACACGCCAGGTGCTCTAGAATGTACAGAGCCGGCTCAAAGTGATCATTCACAAGGCTGTCCATAATAGTCATGATGTAACTTTGCACACCAGCCCATGCAGCTGGTGTCAACTCCAACAAAGTTGGTTGCATTTGTCCAGTGCGATTGACCAACGCCATCGCTGTAGGCGATGTGGGGCACTGTTCACAACCACAAATGCCTGATCCCATTTTGGGCAACACATGGCCTGCATTCTTGTCAAATGCGGAGATCTGTCATCATCCATAGTACGGAACGAACCCCACCGGAATTCTTGTTGAAGGGGGAGCGCGGTGGGGGAAAGGGGGCGCACATGATACTACCTCTGTCTCAAAAGTCATGTCCGATCACCAATTTGCGCAAACAGAGGTCAAAATGCATGAGTCAGACAAGAATAACTGAAGCACCTTCGAAGTTCCATATCAAGAACTATCCATAGAGTCCTCAAACGTTTCATATGGCATAGCCATTCTTGTGATATGTCAAGAGGAGCTGAAATGCAACTTTTGCATTCTGTTGGGGCATTGGGCGGGTTACAGTATGCTTGCCTTGCCTTTCAAAGAAGTGGATCTAGCCGAGCTGCCACCAAGAGAGGGGTATGCTTTGGTGGCTCGGTATGCAGTGAAGAAGTGGCTCGATCCCAAACAGAATTTACAAGGAAAAGGATCGGAGTCCGCAGCAAAATTTTGGGTGTTTGCAAGAACTGCATGCAAGTGGTTGTCAAAGACCACGAGACACTTTGATCACTGCAAGACCATCTATCTTGCAGATTTGCTAAGTTTTGGAAGGCCATACATACTTATTTCAACCAAGAAAACGCCTGTGTTGAGGCCAACATGGCAAGTCGTTGAAAGCCAGAACATTGGGAAGCATACAGGAAGCCATACGGGCAGCGGAAACGGCGATTCCCAAATGCATGATGGTAATGATGTCGAAACTCTTGAAAGGATGTCAACAAGCCTCAACAAGGTTCTTGGAGATTTTTGGAGAAATGTGTTTGGACATACCAGAATAAGGCCAATGCAACATTGCAGGGTATCGAGGGCCTGCATGAAACTGGACATGGGCATTTCTGACGAGGCTGTGAGTGTCATGTTGTATGGTGATGACTAATGCAATCAAGATCCACATCAACTTAAAATCAGCCAAGGAATCCAAATGTGGTGATGGATTGACCGATTGAGTTGAGCTTGCAAAGTTATAGCAAGAATTAGAGGGTGGACACGACTACCATAGTATGACTTGTTTCCCTGTATTGCCAATACACATCCGGTGTTCAGTATTGGCTTTCCATACTGTGAGACCTCAAATCACACCCTGAACTGGTGCTGAGTAGATGTTTACAACGAACCTTTGGCCTAGGTGCACATTAAAGGAGGCCCTTCAGGGTTGTGGGGGGGTCTGTGTGTTGTTGCTGCAAAACCTTGTTATCCTTTGGGCACGATACTTAAACTGCTTTATATAAGGCGAAACATCAAGCTGACTGCCACCTCCTCGCCTTGGTATGCTGCATTGCTTAATTGACTGAAACGATGCGTTTGTGGTATTCTTCAGGATCCACAGCAGGATCGCTGGCAGCTTTAGTTACCACGCCCTTTGACGTGGTGAAGACACGGCAGCAGGTGGCAGCCCAGTCAGGTGGCGCTGCCCAGCCGCCAGGCCTGTACCGTCTGCTGATCGACATCGGCCGGAAAGAGGGGCTTAGGGGCCTGTTCTCAGGTGTGGGCCCAAGGGTGGCGCGTGCTGCACCGGCCTGCGCCATTGTCCTGTCGACATACGAGACCCTGAAGACTGCGATGCTGGAGGAGTGGGGAGGCCGGGAGGGTTGGACAGCGCGGCCATAGTGGTGGACATCCAAGGGATACACGTGTCTGCAATGCAAACAGTAACCTGGGACATTGCAGGCAGTGAACAGCATCTCTATATTCCGAACATTCTTTCGTTTGCCTTTGCTTACAAATATGGGGCAATCGTAGTTTAGGTGTGTGTGGGAGTGGGCTATTAAACTGAGCCATCATAAAATACAGGCATTGTAGCGTTAGTCTGTTGGTGGCATGAACTTCAATTGGCAATCACGCAGATGCTTTCTGGCATTTTTGTAGCATAATCGTGTCATTGCATTTATTCAATTGGGCTAGGGGAAACTGGGCACCTACAATGCGAAGGACCGCATGCCAGCATCGGATTCTGGTTCCCTGAATTGCTCACGATCATCCTATGCCCCCCCACCTGCCTGAAGCGCAGTTGACTAGAGACATTTCTACTGTGATCAACACGAATTATATCTGTGTTCTGGCAAGCTTGCACACGTTTCAGCAACGTTTTTGAAACGCGTCCAGACATGCCAGAAAGAACCAGAAATGCTTTTTTTCCGATATTTTCCAAAGAGGAGGCCGCAAAGTGGCAGAAGACGAATGGCTGCATGCATGCAGGCAGGCATGCGATATGAAAACAAACCGTCCAAGTGTATGTGTGGAGTGGGGGGGACGCATTGTGATTGGAATGCTCCAATATGTCAATAATGGCCCCCGCACTATGCCATGTTGCTTAGGGAAGATACCATGTCGATTTTGCTACACATAGCATCAAATTGACACGAAGCATGGGGTCTTCATTGATAAGAAACATCGGTTTGTGGCGGTAACCCACGCACCTTAGCCGCGCCAGACGGATGCAGACCAGGCCTGTCCTGCTGCAGAGCCTTAATTGTCGGCCCAGCCGTCACAATGAGTTGATGGGCATCGAATGCGGTCCTGTTCCTCGGGAGACACCGCGGTCGCCTCCTCCCCCGCAGGCGAAACAGGATGCGGCACAAACACTGTCCGGGGACAGTTCAGAACCGAAGTCACAAGTACATCAGCGATGGTGGGCCCCGAAAGAGTTGTTACAAGAATGTTTCATGCGTATTTATACTCGAAAGAGGGTGTCCCGGTCCTGGTCCTAGCCACCTTTCGAGAAGCCTCCAAAGCTGCAATCCCCGCACAGAACCCCCTGAGCTTGTCCCCAGACGTCTCAAGTTCTCCAACACTTGTCCCAGCATGGTACAATCCGTCATACATTCCATACAACCGGCTCAATTTCAGTCCCCAGCAAGCAAGTCCAGTCCCCAGCAATCACGGTCAGTCCCAAGCACATCCCACCATAATGATCCAGTACTCAAATCAATCAAATCAGTAAAATATGTTGAAGTTGGTAATACCTGCCAATACATTCCTTAGTTCCAGCCTTGACACTCCATCAGAACGAACATACATAGTTGAAATAGCTCACTGATGATGAATTTCCGGCTCAGTTCTCCATTCCCAGCTCAGGGCTCCGTTCCGGTTTAGTCACATGTCAGGGGGGTCGTACATTGGGGCCTGTTGCAAGGGCGGTTCTCTCCATAGCAATAGAACAGGACAATTGGTACGCCTTTAACTCATTAATTCCAGGCCGTGCTTAGCAACTCATGCAAGGTTGCAGCAGATCAGATCAACCAATCAAACAACTAGTAATACACACCCCCAAACTGGTCATCTCAGTAGGGCTACTTAGAAAATCGCCACAGTTTTGGCCCCTGACGCGGCCGTCTCTAGCAAGCGGTCCATGAGAGGTTCAGCGGAGCCGCACGGATCCGTAATACTTTCCACTGGGACGGCTGCTCCAAAAAGTGCGGCTGCCACGCGCCCAACTGTGCCCAGCAGTCGAGTCACCCCCAAATTGCCGAAGACGGAAATGCGGCAGTGAATGCGGTCGAATGGTGGGAAGTGGCGTTCGCGGGCCACGTGGAGGGCTTTGGTCGGGACGTCAACCCTTTCAATGTTGGGCCAGGCACCCTCTTCCCGCTCCCGAGGACGCTGCTGCCCGCACCGCCGATCCCCGCGCCGCCCCTCCGCCTCCGCTCAGGCTCCGCAATGAAGACGGCAGCGCGCGTCGGCGGCGCCCCCGCCTCGAGGATCGCCCCCCAGGTTGCCCGGAAACGCTTGCACCAAACGGCACAGTCGGGGGATCTCGGCGCCGGACAAAATCGCGTGCCTATTACCGCGTCGGTTCATCGGCGCCGCAACTGACTGTCTTCCGGGCGATGCGTCGCAGAGGGTGGCTCCATGGCATGGGGGTGAGGTCATGCGGCGCCAGAGGCTGGTCGCCGCGCGGGCGGCGGCGGCGGTGGGTCAGAAGACCGCGCCGTGGTTCAGCGGCGTGGAGGTGGAGATGGCGCCGCCCGACCCGATCCTGGGGATCACGGAGGCCTTCAAGGCTGACGGTAGCGCCGACAAACTCAACCTGGGGGTGGGAGCCTACCGCACGGAGGAGCTGGCGCCGTACGTGTTGGAGGTCGTGAAGAAGGTGGGTGGGGGAGGGGGTGGGGGTGGGGGTGGGGTTGGTAAGAGGCCGCGACAGGGGCAGATCAGGCGATCTGGCGTAGCGTGGCTGCGCGGTAGCGGCCTGGCAGCATGGTTCGGATGCGGTTTAGGGGCATACCACGCTGGTGCGATGGGCGGGAGCGCGAGTTGTGGGTGCGTGGCTGGCCCGGGCCCTTTTGTTCGGCCCCTTGTGGCCTTGTGACGTCGTGAACGCCGTCCGCCAGAGTCGCAATCGCGTGGCTTTTCGCGAGACCGGGTCTATGCCCGGACTGTCTTTCGGGTTTGGAAAGAGGATGACTGGCGGTCGGGGGTGATCGGGCGCGATGGACTCGATGTCTGGCCAAGGGAGCAGTGTTGGCGGATCTACCTGTTGCAAATTGTGGGTGTCGAGCCGATTGACAGGTGGCCAGGGACACCGCAAGGCCGCCGCGGGGCCTTCCCTCCCCACCTGATTAGGGTGCGCTTTGCGGAATTTGCCGCTGTTGTAGATTCCTGGAGCCCGGGTTGTAGCCGCGGGCGACGTTCGCTCGGCGCGAGCGCGGCGACGGGCAATCGTTCGCTTTCGACAACCCGCCAGGGTCAGATTCTCATCGCGCGTTGCGAACCTCGCGCCTCTTTGACGAGCATCACGGCTGCTGTCGCTGCCAGCATGTCGCGTGGGGTGTTGAGGACCCCGTCCGTACCCTGCGCGACGCCCACGGCGATGATGGCCGCCCACCGCGCGCGCCCAATGGAGGCGTCGGTGACAATCAGCGCGTGCGGCTGTAGGCTGAGGCCAAGATGCTGGAGAAAGGGGAGAACAAGGAGTACCTGCCGATCGACGGCCTGGCTGCGTTCAAGAAGGCGACCGTGGAGCTGCTGCTTGGCGCGGACAGCCCAGCGGTGAAGGAGGTGGGCCCAGCAGCGAAGCCGTTTCCTTTGCTCTCGCTTGTTAGGAAGAGAGCTTGGCGCCATGCCGTTGAAGGTGTCTATGTGTGGATGCCTGCATTTGTGCTGCCGCCGCTACCCTGGGCCCCCTTGCTGGCCGGTTGAGTTTATCAATGGTATACTGCATCTTGCTTGCAGTTGGCAGTGTTTCCCAGGTGCATGCAGCCTCCGTCCCAGCTGATTGATTCGTTAGTCAACAGTTGATACACCGTTGGCCCTGAAAGGTGCACCTGTTGGCCTGGTTTGCCCCAAGTGTGAGGTGCACTGGCTCGTTGCGCTTGTTGTGGGTGTGGGACTGATGCATTTGTGGGAGTTATCAGCAGTGCCAAGCTCACGGTGTCGAGTGCACACAAGGGGCAATGGCATGCAAGCGACACAGGAATTAGCAGCCTTGTTGTATGCCCCTCTATGCTGCGTAGAAACTGTGCCATGGCAGTGAGCTATGCTGAAATATTCATCTGACAACGTTCATCTTGATGATCTGACATCGCCTGCCGTGATCTGACAATGTCTCCATTTTTCGTAGGGCCGTGTTGCAACCATCCAGTCGCTGTCTGGGACTGGTTCTCTGCGCGTTGCGGGCCAGTTTCTGTCCCGCTTCTGCTCTGGAAGGACACTGTACATCTCCGATCCCACATGGGGCAACCACAAGGCAATCTTCACTGATGCGGGTGTGCCGTGGAAGACCTACCGGTACTTTGACCCTGAGACAGTGGGCCTGGACGAGGAGGGCATGATGGCAGACCTCAAGGCTGCGCCTGAAGGCTCAGTGGTGCTCTTGCATGGTGGGCATGTCAGATGCTATTCGAAGGGCCCTGTGGAATTTAGAATACTGACAATGCGCAAAGTACATGTGTATCTTGTAGGCTGACATTTTGTCACTGAATTGCGTTTCAGGAGACTGGCGGTCAGGAATTGTTAGACATGATTTTCACTTTGCAGTGCTGCCCGCGTTCAAAAGTAATTGGAGTGCTGTGGTGGCAGAGTCCATGGCGGTCTTCTCAGATCACTTTGTGATCATCATCTGTGGCACACTCTTATATGCACGAAGGGTAGCATCGACCTGTATGGACAAGTCGTTGGGTAGCTTCCACAAGTGGAATGAGGATAGATAGACCTCCAAAACTGGACAACAAGGATTTTGAAAGCACAGAATGACCCCTTGGGTTTAAAGGGAACATAGCTGGGCAAGCTCACGACAATACCCTGTGCATTTGTGCAACTTCGCAAATCTGTTGATGGTTCCATGTGCTAGTTTCCTGTTGTAAGGTTTCCCTTTGAAGATCGAGAGTTTGGCATGCATGCTGCATCAGGTTGTGCTCACAACCCTACTGGAGTTGACCCCACAAAGGAGCAATGGAAGCAGATATGCGATCTGTGCCACGAGAGGCAGCTGCTGCCCTTTTTCGATGTTGCATACCAGGTATGCTGATCTTTCCCGTCTGGAACAGTGCATTTGTAATTCTCATTCCAGCAGCGTTGGGAAACAGTTCGCTCGTTGATTCCCAAGGCCAAAGCTGCAGGCTTGTCGTTTTGCCCTGAACATGATTGTAGTGATTACACCACTGTTCAGTGAGCACCCTGTTGTAGCATGTCTCGTGATTGGAAATGAGACCACCACACCTGGCAAGCAAATGATAGCACTATGCGTTGTCACATTGGCAGTGCCTGCTTTCAGGCTCCTGGTGCTTGACAGTGATTAGCGTGGCAATTCTCAGTTGTCACAGCCATCAAAAGTCACGTCACAGGGCTGCCCTTGCCCCTAACTTGCATTGTCAGGCATGGTCCACAACAACAGAAAATGCTCCTGATAGAAATGTCCGCAGTGCAGTTGGTGGTTGCTATTCTTTCTGCAAACAGCTCAACCTTCTGTCACTAAGCAATTTGATCTATGATTGTCCTAATCAATTACTTGCAGAGGCCCAGCTATTGAGAGCAGCAGCAGTCTGTGCCGATTAAGCTTCTCCAAACAGGATGAAGTTTTAGACCATGTCAGGCGCTGTTCACATATTTGAAGAGCATGCCAAGACGTGTGCCCATGCCCCTGCCCCAATCGACAGCAGCAGTTGTGCAGATGCTGGATGCAGCCAACAGAACATGCCGTCCTAAGCGGCCTGCCTGTGTTGCCTACAGGGCTTTGCAACAGGGTCCTTGGAGGAGGACGCCTTTGCCCCACGCTTGTTTGTGGAGGAGGGCCATGACGTTATTGTGTGCCAGTCATACTCCAAGAATCTGGGGCTGTATGCTGAGCGCATCGGAGCACTCAACATCGTCGCTTCAGACAAAGACGTACGTTTGCCATTGGGGCCCAGGGCATTCAACCAGTCCTTGTTGTGATGCTTCACAGCTTGGCACCATGCTGTGACAGAAGTGTTGCAAGTGCAGACAGACAGGACAGTTGGCTGCTTGTTGTACTGCACTCCTGGCAAGATCGCACCTGAGGGGTCGCAGTGAGCACCTCGAAACGTTACCTTAAATCACCTTCCAGAAGCAAGGGTAGAGTTCAGCCCTGTGCAGGCAAATGTAGCAACAAGCGCTCAACCATAGGCTGCACTGACACATGCAAGTGTGTATCCAGTCTGCTGCCCGCATCCTGAGCCAGTTGAAGAAGATCGCTCGGCCCATGTACTCCAACCCGCCAGTCCACGGTGCTCGCATCGTTACTGAGGTCATTGGCAACAAGGACATGTTCGATGAGTGGAAGGGGGAGATGGAAATGATGTCTGGCAGGATCATGACCGTGCGGGGAGAGCTGTACGACCACCTGACAAGGATGGCACCTGAGAAGGACTGGTCCTTCGTGAAGAGACAGATCGGCATGTTTTCATACACTGGCATGACTCCAGATCAGGTAAATATCCAGCAGGAGCACAACGCACATTTTGACTACACTGCAAAATCGCGTACCTTTGCACATTTGCCGCAGTATTGCTCTGGTGTGAAGAGGGTTGGTGTGAAGGCCGCTTGTGCGGTTCGAGATCTGTCTTGGAAGCTGAAGAACATGTCATTGTGAGCATGCCCACCCAACATAACTATGTAGGTGCCTGAACGATGTGCATAGCTGTGTGTATCTCCCATTGAACACACTTCTAGTCATCAAGTGCAGCGCTTGCGCCGTGCAACCTCTCAACTTGTGCTTTGGTGGCCAGGCTGGCTGGCATTTCGCGCATTTCGTTCACCAGCAACTCTCCAGCCAAGTCCTTGTGCCCCTGCGCAAATGCCGTTGTGCAAGACACATCCTCGTAACATATGTCTTTTGTAACCAAAATTGGAGATCTGAATCACCACTGTGTGCTGTGCTGTGGATGGCTGATGGCCTCCAATAATGGATGCCCATAATTTGTTGTGAGGCGCAGAGATTCACTATCTGCCTAGACGTCATCAATAGGCAGTCCAGTTCGACGGCCCACTGAACCTGTTGTGGGCTTGTATTGCGACGACTGCCACAGCAATGGCTGCTCAACTCACTGGCTTGCCATCCCAACATTGGGATGGGAAGTAATCATGTTGCGCAACAGACCATGGGACACTTGCTCTCCACACATCTCCTATGGTGGTGGTGTTGTGAACATGAACATCAGTTTATCAGTTCTCAATTGCTATTAGGCCACCAAGAGGAAGTTGCGTCGTAAAATTCCTTCAGGCGTGTGACTTGATTCCAGCTGTCCAAAGTCTGTGCCTATGCCCCCGCATGCTTGCAGCCTTGGCAGCGCTTGTTGTAGCTAAACTTGTCTCCAGAGCATACTTGTTTCCCTATGGCTACATCGCGAGGAGTGGCCAATGTCGTTTCAGCGCCGTGTAATCGAAGTTAAACTGATTGACACTTGCACGGCTCGCTGCCAGGTTGCAAACATGACAGGGAAGCATCACATCTACATGACCAAGGACGGCCGCATCTCACTGGCGGGTCTGTCGTCGAGCAAGGCGGAGTACCTTGCTGCCGCCATGGTGGACTCTGTGCGGAACTTCTGAGGAGCTCGAAAGAAGCAGTGCACAACGACGAAGTTGTGCGTTGATTTTGCGCCCACCTTTGGTAGCAATGACGTCCATTTGCGAGTGCAGCCAGGCCTGTTGACACATGCAGGCCAATGGAAAGGGCCCGGGGAACCGTGGGCGACGGCGCCCGGTGGTTTCGAATTCGTTTATTTGGCATTCTAGAATTAATGGTCATTCATTTGGGGGTTGAATTTTTTGTCCAAAGGTGGTGGCTCGCTGGCGATTCGACAAAAGAATAACAGAGTGGGATAAGGCCGCCGCGCAGGGCGGCGGTGCGACGAGGCGGACCAAAAAGCACGTTAGCTTTTGTGGTATTCGAGTGAACCAGCGCACACAGGCTGCAACTCGATTGCGCACGGTCGCAGTGGTATTGCTGAGCGTATGCTGCGCCCACAGTGGCCGTTTTCGCTCGCTTCGATGATGTGCCACTCAACGTGCTCAGGTCCCGCCCAACGCTGGTACTGCACTGTGGATCAGTTCCCACAGCTTGTGCCGGGGCGATGCAATTACTGCTCAATTGCAGGTTGATCAGCTGCATTGGTCGTTGTAATCGCCCCTGCCTAGGTGCTTGCTCCACCTGAGCAAGGTTTTTAGCGCTGTGGTCCCTTCACTGGATTCGGGGGATGCCAGCATGAGCTCGATGCTCACGAGGGCGAACTGGTCGCGGGGGGCGCTTGCAGATAAAATGCCGGCAAACCACAGCAGTGCTTCCGTCTTCGAAACGAAGTCCACATGTGCATACATCCAGCAGAATGTTCCAATATTCACTTCTTGAGCGAAATCCCTTCAAGCGACACGTGCTTTTGAATGGGTTCATCTGCATTGGCCGTAGAGGCACCAACACCAGGCGGTGCCCATCAAGCTGTTCTACTCGGCATCTGCCCTCCCGCATCACAATTCCTCCTGGCTGACGGACTGCTTGCCTCCCGTCCCGCCCCTCAGTCCCTCCCAAAACTCGCTTGCTACCGTCGCTGCCCATTGCCAGCCGCGTCGAATGGCGGTCGCAGCCCTTTTGACCGCGCGACGGGCCTCCTCCACGACATCCAATCCTCCAAAGGCCCCCAAACCGCCTAGATCGTCGCCCTGTGCGACCAAATCGTACGCCGACGTCATTTGCGCATATCCAGAGACATCCAATGGGCTGGGTTGCTGCCCAGGTTGTGACGCATTCGTTCGAGGGTCAACTGTACTGCTCTCTCTCAGCCATTGCACAGCCATTCCAACCAGCAGCAAGGCGCGATACATCCGGCGTCCCTCCTGAGTGAGGGTGCCGCTTCTGTACATTTGCTGAAGGTGATGCAGAAGCACCCGAATGCGCCAACAGGCAAGTGTTGTGCATCGCCGCAATTGCAGCACAGGGGCTGTCCGCCCTCCCCCCCAAGTACACGAGAGGTTAATAAAACTGTGGAAAATAGGTTCAACCTGGTCCAGACTAAGGTTCAAACCAGTCCGAACTGATTTTCAACCTGGCACAGCCGTATGGAGGTTCGACCTGGTCCAAATTGATTTCATTTTGAGGTTCAACCTCGTCCAGCCGTGTGTACAACAAGTGTCTGACACCGTTCATTCAAGGAGATTAGGGCCACGAAGACTGCCTGATCTTCTTCTTTTTTTGGAGAGGGGGAGGCACTTAGGGTTGACGGCTTCTAGCTTTTAGGGTCGAGCCTCAGTTTGGACTGGGTTCATCCTCTACACCCATAGAACTGACCTCCGTTTCGCGGAGTGCAACTCTACCATGCGCACCTCACCACCACTCGCCTTGTGACGCCCACCAAATGAACACACACAAACACTACGTGGCGACAAAGCGGCGGTGGCATGCAATGTGAGATGCATGCTTGCACGACTATTGCCATCTGTGCTAACGATTGGTGGATGACCGCTACGTGAGGCATCATTGAGATGGAGGCGTCCCAAGGTGCCCCGGGTCAGCACTTCGACACATGAGCGGGCAGTGACACTGAGCAGTTCTCAAATTGACTCAATTTGCCTGATTTCAATGTGTTGTCATGGAGGTCACACCGTGGCGTTCCGTGTACGGACTTGTGCTCATCGCCGCCTTTCAGGCGCAAGGCAAATCTCTTCGCTTGCCTGCAAACATGGCAAAAGACATACGCACACGGGCCTCGTTTCACGGTGCATCCTGGCCCGCTTATAGTGTGGATGGATTGCATCAAAATTACAAAAGGTGCAAGCGGCCTGTACTCTGCCGCAATCCTGACGGGTGAATTTAATTGAATCCATTTATCAACGGATCATGCCTTGGGCCCCACCTGCGCATGTCCCTCAGCATCCCCAAGCATGCTTCTGTATGTTTCCAGTTGCTGCATGGCACTGTCACGGTCGAACACCTGGCCACCGAGTCCCATGTCACTCATCTCTCGCATCATTTTCTTCATTCTGATCTCCTCCTCAGTAAGCGCCTTAAACCCAGGACCTCTGGGCCGGGTCTGGTGGCACAAGCGGCACTGTCAGCGACACGGGAAAAAAACACAGAAAACCTGTGACGAATCCCCATGCATTCTAAGCAGAGGTGCAACGAAACAAACCAGAACGGGCCTTGTGCATGCTCAAAAACCGCCTGCCCCACTCCTGTGCAAAGTCGCCAGAAGCACGGGCATTTCCAGCGCAGGAGGGGGTCACCAGCGAGCCATCCGTGCCCCAACCCGACAGTGCATTGCAGGGAACACGCTCGGTCCAATACCAGGGACGCGGAATCGAGTTGGTTAAACGAATTCTTTTGACGGCAGTGATTTTGGAAAAGGCCGTGGCAGCCTCGCAGCAGGGTCTCCGCTTATCAACCGCATCAGCCACAGGTATCAGCTAATGAGAATAATCAGGACGGAATTGCGCTTGTCCTTGTCTTGAAGCGGCACACGCAATGTCGTGCACGACAGCTGCAAGCAAAGGACTGGCATCAGCCCGCTGACAGAACGTGTATAGGCAGCAAAATGCGCTGCACACAAAAGGGCAAGTTTCAACAGGTGCAGCAGTCATGGTCGCCATTTCATGTCCTTTCCCCAGGATTCTGTCCCGATTTTAGGACAATTTGGCTGAGCTATCAAACAAATCTTCTGTGTGGACTCATGCACGTCATCACAATGTAGGTGCAAGGGCTGTGGTTTGTCGCGCTCTGGTAAGTGCAGTCAAAGGAACTGGCAGCTGATCTCGGCGACACTGAATTGGTGCACCACCCGTCCCAATGCACAGCGCATGTGCTTGTCCACAGTTAGGGCGACCTAAGCCACTGAGAGTTGCCACAACATGCAACAAAGCTGTTGGCTCAGTGAACTCCTCACGACCCAGGACAAGACTGGCAGTTGCACCAGGCGCTAGGCACAACAACACTCAATGGAATGTACAAACGATACCAAAAAAACGATACATGCGATGAACGATACCAAACGATGCCAAATAAATGTCAAGGTCAACGACCCACCTGGGGCAGCGGTGGAGGTTTCTTGGAGCAAGGTCTTCCTGACTGCCGGCAGAACTCGTCTGTCAGCGCTGCACGTTTCTTTTCACCTTTGAACAGCGCTTCAGCGAGGTCCACATCAAAGTCATCCAGCATGTCAACACAGGCCCGGGCAACTGTCCGACACTCTGTCCCACATTCGCCGACCTGATGCAGAGGCGAGAAACAGTGACTCCGAAGCCCAGGCAGGGCATTCAGGAGCCTGGTTGTATGCAATTTGGCGTCCCTTTAGCAAATGTATTCGCACCCACAGAGAAACATGGTGGCCGCGTCTCTACAGCGGCATCTCTCTAAAAGTTGTCTGCATTGTGCTTGTGGCAGGTCTCCGCTGAATGCAATGCAGAGACAGCAGCAAATACCAAAAGTCCACAACGATTTCGCAACAAGATCCCAGAAAACTGAACTGCCTCATCCATAAGCCCAAAGGGTGGCTCATCCAAGCCAGTTGGCCAGAACCTTGAACAGGATTTGTGGCCAGTGCTCTATATGTCTATTGTACATCTTTCTCTGGCGTGTCTCACAACTTCCAGAGCACCAGTGAAAGTGGAGCCTGCTTTGACTGCATCCACTATTTTGGGCATAACACTGGCAGTTGTCCAACGATGTTGTGCTGCACCTTGTGTGGTTTCCAGTGTTTGTGTTCTAGACTGCGCCATCAGTGCTCTATCAAAGCAACATACTTGCAAGAAAGCAGCCATGGTAAACCATCATGATCAGCAACGTATCAGTAGGATAGCGGGTCTCTTGTGTACATACCTCATTGCCAGTGTCAAGGACTGGAACAAGAGCGTGGACGTTTTACAGTGAACCCAAAACAAACATCAAAAAGTCTTAGCCGCCTGACAGCCTGCAGATCTGACTGCTAGTCGCATTGCCACCACCATGTGTATGCCATGCAGGGAAGTGGAGTGCAGCTGTATTGCACAAAGGGAAACAAACAAATTTTTGGTCAAGTGATGCCCTGCCATCCCCCTCAAGTTGCAAGGACACTGTTTTGTGCTCTGTGTGTGAGCTAAACTCCTGAGTTTCAACTGCATTCCCACCTGTGGCATGTCCACTAGCAACAGCCTTTCATTGTCTTCCACCAAGTCTGTTCTGGCTATCCATTCGCCCTCTGCCCCTGCAGCATCTGGGTCGCACAGATTGTCCAACATGTCCATGATCTCACTTTCTTCAACCTGCAACGACAGCAGGCCATGGGCATCAAATCAACAAAACAGAATTTATGTGTCCTTACAGACCATGCAACAACAGGGGTGTGGGGATGTGATGCCCATCAATGCTGAACAGTGATACTGAGAGACTCCAAGCTTCATTCACTGTGTGTACGCAACAACGTGCCGTGCCTAAATGCCGAAAGATAGAATGCACAGAAACATCAGAAGTGCGATTACAGTCGCCAACAACAAGACAAAGTAAAGTGAAATGGCGCGCCTATCTTGTGAATCGACACGTGCAGGCAAGGCGATGAGCAGGATGGAAACGCAGGCTTGCCAATCCTTTGAGTCATTTGTGAAATTGGTAAGTGCAATATTGCACCACCAACACCATTATGGGAACAGAGATATAGGTGGGGAGTGGCTGTGTACCCATTCAGATGGTGAGATTTGAGGTTGTGGACAGAATCTAGGAGGTCTCTGAGCACAGGATGGAGATGGCTCTGCTTGCTGTCGATACACCAGACAAACTCTTCTTCAACATGAAGGCCAACGATTCTTGTCCTCAACAAGGCACGGATCAAATAGAATTTGAAGGGTGGGGGCAGCCTTACACTGGCCGTTGTCACAAACACCGGACAGTGGACAACGTTAACGGCCATGGGCCGGACCCAAAGATTGTAAAAACGAGAAGCGTGACGATAGCTTGTGGGAGGCACGATTGGCCTTCGGAAGCTGTACAGGACACACTGAGACGCACATTCTTGTTGGCGCTGCTGGACTTGACGGAGACCATGTGACTGGCATTGCATATTTCCTGGGCCATCTGGATTCTGGAATTCGAACAACAAGTGACCTACTCCCTTCTGCGCTTGTGCTCAAGCCAAAACTGCAACCAGATCACCCAGAATGGAGCTGGTCGGAGGGCACCGGCCGACCATCAAAAACAATCCAGTCATTAACAGATGCCGGCCATCGGCCCCTTTTCGCCTGTCGGTTGCCCAGGACAGTTTTATCCGACCGGATAGATCCAAGCAAAGACACGCACTGAGAAAGGGGCAAGGGGAAATCAGTCACAGCCTCGCAAGAGTTTACCTTCTTACCGGGTTTCACATCCGCAGCGATGCGCTTGACGCCCCGCAGGGCCTCCCTGACCAGGTGCTCACACACCCCGCACTTGATGTATCGGATGTCAGCCTTCACGGCCGGCGCCTTGGCCTCATCCGGGCGCCCGGCGCCAAAATTCATTGGCGCAGCTTCGGCCAATGCGAGCTGCCCGTACAGGATGGCTCCTCCGCCCAAGAGGGCGCACAGCCACAGGAACCAGGCCCTGGGGGCGCATGGCGCGTTTCTACCCATAGGCCGGCTGCTCGACGACCAAGTTGTCAGTGACGAGGCGAGTGCGCTTGCGGCCTCTTCTAAGTCGTGCGCCTCTGATTGAGGACAATTTTGGTTAAACATTCATTAAATCGTCGGTAGACGTTTTAACGGTGTGGTTAAAATCTTTAACACTTAACCTCCAGTTTTCAGGAATCCCCTGTGCCCACTCGCTTCGAACCCCGTAATCTAGAGGGACGGTGTGATGAGGATTCTCGTTGAACGAGGAATTGTGGAGTTTGTGAGGCTAGTGAGCAGTCCGCACTCAGTGTTGGCAAGCCGGTGGACTGAGTGGGTTCCGGACCACAGATCATGGATAAATGAGGCAGCCATACCGTCGAATGGAAGCCATAGTCAGCAAAACGCATCCTTAATCTTTGAATCGAATCTCAGCACCCATTGTCGCCTTGGGGGGTTCCGCTGACACTCCCAAGTCACCCGTGCCAGAGACGCACTCCCAACAGCTCACTACGCAAGAATCACAAACCTCGGCACCCAACAGTGGGCCAAAAAAAACGTAACGAAAAATTCCGACCCTTGGGGCCCGGCTGCAATTCGCCTACACCAGGTCCCAGCTGCACCCCCGCAGCCCCGAGCCGTAGGAGCACCCAGTTGCCGTCCCTTCAGGCCCCTAAAAGGCCATCATCAGTCCCAAAATAAAAAAATTAATAACAAAAAAAATCAGTCCCACCCCTTTCCCCCCAGGCGCCCTATGCTGGGAAATATAGAGCTAAGAAAAAATGCGCTTGCGTAGGAATTCAGAAGGTTGATACTTGTAGGAGATGTGCAGGGTGGAATGGCAGATATGCACGTTTCCCAGGTGTACAAAGACTGGTTTTGGCAATGGGTGTGGGGTTGTATATGGGTGGACCGGAAGGGTGTTCCCAAGTGTAGGGGGGAATGAGGGGGTGCGTAAAAAAAGCAAAGAAAAATACTACCCTTCGACAAGGGTGGTGATGGTGTCGCCCATTGCACGCTCCTCACCCACAGACAAAAATCGACCCAGGAGTTGTTGCTCGCCTGCAGACATGGCGTGCGGAGCTGGTGGGTTTTGGGGCGGAGCGGCAGGGAAGGGCCCTTTGGGTGTGGACAGAGACGAGATCGTGCAGGGGCAGCGTGGCCTCGGGCGATCGTGGCGCCTGGAGATCGGAAGGTGTGGGTCCACCTGGAGATCATGTAACAGCTGATGCGTTGTGGCGGGATCTCGCAGGACTGCGGGTAGAATGGCACGCTGATTTTCAGCGGCTAATCCCTTGTAAGGGTCGCTGTTGCAGTATCACTCAGAAGTCTGTGTGTGAATCCAAAATGCAAATCAAAATTCTGCAAATAGAATCAGTTGTTCTGAACTTCTCTCACCCGATGGCATTCTGTCTGCACCCATAGCAGCCCCCCAAGCAGCGGGTGCCACACAAAGAGATCGCTTGTACATGGGGTAGCACTTGTTGACCACCTGTCCGGCAGCAACGCCACACACCGAATGCCCCCTTTTGATCCCGGGCTTAATATAAGTCGGCTCCGTCGTTGTGAAAGAATTTGAACCAGTTCATTCATTTACTATCAAAGCATTCGTGTCCTTCGCCATCAGGCGTTCCAGTACTCGTGACACCTCACAAACACCGCTGTTGCACCCTGTGCTACTATGTGCAGTCCGCAACGGGGCGGGTCGCCCGCACATCGCTGTACCGAGTGCTAAATTGCCCCATGCCAGAAACCGTTCGTTTGGGGTCTCCACTGCCACAGCACGTTGTGCACAGCGAGGGACGGCATTGCTGTGCCACCACTACATACAAATAATAAAAAGCTAACGGACAACAATAAAAGAGAGCATTATAATCACGGGTCAAGTTGAGCCGACATTCGGTGTGCGGAATTGGGAAAATCAGGAGCCAGGATCAGGTGAAAAAGAATTTAGTTGGTCTACCGACTTCGCCTACTGTTTACTGGTCATATCTTTGCAGTGGTCGGCATTCAAAGGTTTCTAAGGAGGCCCGAGTGTTCGTGGCTCGGGTAGAGGGGAGTAGTTTCATTCAGTATGTGAGACGCAAGCAATGTTAAATAGTGTGTCGGCACTCAGGTTCAGTGTGGCGCCTGATGAAGAACTGGGTAGGCGTCCATGCATGTCCACGAGCGCCCAAGCAGTGCGTCTCTACTTAAGACCGCGGCTGACGAATGTGGGATATGGGTTACGGGAGACAACACGTAGGGCTGCAAGACGCTGTTCGATGGAAAATCGTTAGGAACGAATGAACCGAGATATTTGAGTCGATACACCGCACCGCACGCTGAGGCTTGTTTTTCACTCATTGTGGTTGATGGAGATTACGGTAAGGACCATACCAGGGGCAACTCCATGTATTGCCTGGTCCAAAACAACGCCGCAGCAACACTGGCCCACAACCTGTCAATTGGTAGCAACGGCGTCGAGCATTGCCAGCGCTGATCCGCTGACAGCTTGACTCCATCGACAGACAAATCCGATGACATGATGCACAATCACGGCAGCGGCCGTCCGCCCATTTCCAAGCGATTATCCTTGCCTCTGGCAGGATAAAACGACTTGCAGCCTGGTGTTGTGCTGCTGCGAGCCACAGCCATCCATGACAATCTGCATCACATGTCCCCGTCGTCGAACATCGATCAGCTACACCTTACACAATCGAAGGCAATGCGACCCCAGGAGGTGCATGTCCACACACGCAGCTGCCTCACCCCAGCACCGCGCAGCGATTACCCATTGTTTACAGTTTCTCCAATCAAACTTCCCCGTCACTCCCCACCTCAAAATTTTACGCACAAAACTTCTCTCATAACCCATTCTCTTCTCCCACCGAGTTCGTCAATCAATCAACGACCGGTTGCCAAAGATAAACACATTCGTTGCACTTTGTAGACCTGCGGGATGCTGGGAAACAAATAGCCGAACTTGACACGACTTGTCAAAGAACAACATCAATCCCATCCATATCAGCAAACCACATCCCCTCCCAGCCCTTCCAGCCCTCCCTGTTTATAAACAGTTTATCACTAATTAGTGATAACTCACCCACGCTGTGCACTCTCGCACCATTTTGTAACAAATACCCGGCATGTAGCAAAGCCCTCAAAATGTGTGTGCACAGCTTCGTCCTGCGAAAGCCAATGGTGTCAACGCATGACACACCACCCTTCTAATTGGTAACACCAGATGGCTGTTTTCTCTTTTCTGCCGCCCTGCCCCTGCTGGCCTGGCCTCCTGGTGGAGGCGGGGGAATGCCTTCGATGCTTTGGAGCTCCAGGATGTGGCCGATTAGGTCTGCACGGCTGGAACCCACGTGTTTGTCGACGAGCTTGCCCCTTCGAAAGAACAGAAAAGTGGGCACCTCCCTGATCCCCAGCTTGCCCATCATCGCTTTAGTCTCCTCACTCTCATCTCCAAGCAGCCTTGCAAAAGCAGCATAGCCCTGCAACCCATTGTCCAGACCTCCCTGAATGCGCTGGTCCAAAGCGTTGAACAGCACTGCACTTTCACACACTCAGATCTGCCCTACCACGGTATGTCCAGCCACAGCAGTTGTTTGCAATCATTTGTTTGATTTCACCTATCCAAGTACCAATTCGCATCGCACATGCACCTGCACGGCGATGACAGGCAGAAGTCCAACCACCATGTTTTTCTGAGAAGCCTTGATTAAATTTACTCCTTCGACATATTGATCGGACTAAAGCATGCCAGCATTAAACCCTGAGCACAATACTTATACATGCACGCATATAGAACTGCACCCTGCCTCACCATCAACAGATGTCTGTACTATTCACTGAAAGCAGCAGTACTGTATCAGGACATCATTGATTGTGGACTCATTGTACAGGGTATCTACCACAAGCTGGTGCAGTCTGCACTCTGACCCTATCTTGTGAGGTGTTTTGCATCCATTCGTCAACATGAAAACCTTCAAGTGGTGCATATGCACAAGCTGCAAAACCTGCACAAAAGCAGACAAAACACAACAAGCCAGAAAGCCTGCACTTGCTAGGTGCCTCAATGGCTGTTCGTGCTCCTCGGAAGCGCCCCAGACTGTTTTCTTGCTACAGTTTTTGCTCAATGCCAGTGTACCACAAACATCCACACAGGCACCTGTTCAGCAGGTGACATTCGACAGCCACTCTTCACATTGTACAGAATTTTACACAGCTTTCTTGCAGCATCATTTTTGGACCCTCTTTAGCGTCTCCTTTCTAGCCACTTGCCTTGAAGTTCTTTGCGAGGGCGACAACTGCAGGGAACATTCGTATGCAAGGCAGGGCACTTGTGAGTGAGATGTCAATGACTGACAGGGTGCTATCCTGTTGTGTGTTGCCCAGGAAGGACTCCAGGTCTGATATTGTGTGGATCTCCTGAACATGCTTAGTGGCTTTCTCTCCACCAGCAGCTGTGTTCCCATAGAACAGCACACCTGTAACACATGCCCCACTTTTCAAGCAGTTGCTCCATTTGTCACTGATTGGGAGTGCAGGAAAATGAGCAAATATCACAAACAATGCTGATGAAATCATGCCTTAGAAGCCCAAAGATACTGTCTTCACATGATTGTGTAAGATACCGAATTGTGCTTGTCCCCCATGCTTCATGTGTCCTATCCTTGTTGCTTCACATTCGTCAGTCTTGCAGCATGACAGACTGACATAGATTCAGTGTAAAATAGTGTAGCAGCCACCAGTGCAAATATAAGATCACCATCGAGGCAGTTCACCCATATGAAGCCTATAGCCATCCCACCTTTGGGATTTCCCGCTTAAAATGTGCCAGTGGATACAAGGAAATCACATCATCAACTCTAACATCGGACTAGTAGCATTGAGGCTTACCAATGGGAACCAACAGGCACATCTGGCTGTCATCCAGAAGAGGCAAAACTCATTGCACGTGGCAGGGCACACACCAACTTTTGCTCTGGCAGAAGAGATACCATTGTTTGCAAAAGTTGCTCCACTAGTGCCAAAACACTTGGCAAATCTTCAATTTCCCAGAGCATTCCACCAACTTACCTTCCCCAAGGTCCTCTGGCATTTCCACAGCCCCTTTGTGCTCCCAAAGCAGCTTGCCATCTCTGTAGAATTGGAGCGTTGGCAGTACATCCACACACAGTTTGTCGCACAGCTTTGAACCATCAGGTGTGTCAGCCTGAGCGTTTCAGAGAGTCAAGTTTCAGAACTTGCAACAAAAGTGAGATTCACAAGCGAGCAAGATGAACAAATGCTCTGGGACAAGAACTGATGGCCCACCAAGGCATGGCAAGGACAGGGTTGTCATTATACAAAATGAAACATAGAATTCTTGGCAAGTTCACAAGGGCCTACAACAGCTACCACCGATTGCACCAAGCAAGGCATGGTTCATTATACCTTGTGTGGATGCCCCTATTGCATCAAGGTCAGGCACAACATGCACAGAGGTAACTGCCTGCTGCCACACATCTAAACAAGGAGAGGAAACCATTTCAACACTGTTGTTGCCAAATCCACACATTGGACGCAACGCTGCACCTTCCGGTGCTTCGTCTCACCTTCAGTTGCAAGAATTTGACATCTGTACACTCCCTTGCTGTCCTCTGGAAAACGTGTTTCACGTGCTTGCATTGCTCCCACAGCTCGTTCTCTTTGGCATCTCTGTCAAGCTTCCAATGCAGTTCAGGCTCTTCCTCTTCTATCCCAGATTGGCACACAACATCCGAGTCCATTTCAACCACCACCAGATTCTTGCCAGCCTGAGGATCGTGTGGACAGATCGGCATACAAGGTGTTAGCCCACTGTCTTCTAATAATGTGGGCATGGGGTATTTCGAATTAGATTTGGGAGAAAAGGGGACATGAATGGGCAAGCTCCGATTCACTCCTTTGCAACTCCTGTCTGGTTTCTTTTGTGTCACCTGTTTCACCTCCCTTTCGAAGTCCTCTTCGTTGTGAATCTCAATTACCCTCTCCTGCACACGCTTCGACTCCCTCATCCTCCTGTCAAGGGCCTCATAGGGGGACTCCTTTCTTTCAGCAGCACAAACGTGGACACAACCTGCTCCACAACTTGTCTGCATCAATATTGTCTGCACATATCAACAATTCTTGACTGCACATATCAACAATTAGACAAAGCACGCCGCGCCACCCAGGCATCCCTTCACTTCTTTTCCTGGTGTTCTTTAGGGGACTTGTAGCCCCCTTGTGCGCATCGATGCTTCAACATGAGGTCAATTGTGCAGTTGCATGGGCTGTCAGCAGCCATCAACCTGCAGCCGGCTCCCACAGCTTGCAATTCAACACGAACGTTTGCTGTTCAGCTCAGTATTCCATCGCCTGTTTTGTACAGAATTGATTGAACGTCATCTGCCGTTGTCCAGAGGGCGTTCAACTGTCTTTTCAACGGAAAGAAAGGTGGCAAAATATATGGCAAAATATATGGGCACCCCCGCCCTGAGCAAGCATATCTTGACAAGCCGTTCCATGAACCGCAGGCTGGCGCAGCAGCTCCCAAGCGCAGCCGGCTCAGCACCCACGCTTGTCAGGGGCGCTTCAAGAGCAACACGTAAACCAAGGGGCCCTCTGATGCCTGCAACCACCCTTGTTGTGCGCACCACAGGACGCAGCACTGGCGCAAGTGCTGCGGGCCCGCAAGAGAGCAGAGACCTGTTTGGCACTGGGAACAAGGGCCACAAAAAGCTAGCCAACAAAACGGGAGCGCAACCTCAAGGGCCCTCGACCATATCCGCCAGGCTCTGCACAAGTTCATAGCATGACGGCCGCATTTGCTTACGCAGCACTCCAGCCTTGCAAGCCATCACGCCAAACACTAAAACCAATCCAAGCTAAGGCATTCAAGCAGACAGGAGCGGAGTCGCAACGAAGGACGCGGTGGTCGCTGCCGCCTTTTCCCCCGGAAACACAATCGGCGCACGCCGGCGCCTGCGTGGCGCGGGGGACCATTTCCCACAGATGCCCATCCCACAACAAGCCACCCCACACGTCGCTCTCTGCACGCCTATCCGCAATCACCACCACCATCACGGCCGCGCCCATCCTTTCTTTCGCTTCGCTCACGCGTCAAGCGCTCTCCCGAGCGAGTGCCCGGCTCCCTCCGAGACAGGGCTGAGGAAGGCTGACGTTTCGGCCACCCCTGCTCTGACCTACGCGTCGATTTCACTTCAGCGCCTGGCTGATCAGTACATCGCCGAACGGCGTCCGCGGCGCCGCCGATGCCGCCTCCAACGCCCCCACCGGCCCCACGCGCAATTCCGCGCGCATCGATCCCATGCTATCATGCATCCACGCACCCGGCCGGCCCCCCTCTTCCTGCCTGCCTCCCTGCCTGTGCTGCCGCTCCGGGTGGCGCATCGCCACGTGCACCTGACTGCGCCCGCCGGAAAGCAGCTGGCCAGCCATCGCCGCCATGCGGCCCGGTGCCGGGCACTGGCGCGGCGCCAGGCCGCCGGGTGCGCCCCTCGCGCCTTTCATCGCGAGGCGCAGTGCGGGGGATGGGCTGGCGGGGAGTGCGGGATTGCGCCGCTCACGGCGGGAGGGCGCACTTGAGGACGGAGGGCTCCCGGCCGCACAAGCGTGGGGCGGGACGGTGGCGCCCGCGAGTTGCGGAGAGGGGAGGGACGGGGCCCCACAGGCCGGGCATTGGTGTGTCAGGTGTTGGGACAGCCTGGCAGATGGGCGACAATTGGGCATGATTGGGGTACTGTCGCGAACGGGCGGCTCAAATTGGCACTGAGCCTTTGGGCTGCGGCGACCCAGGGGGTACGGGAGGCATTCACAATCGGACACGCGAGGAAGGACAACTCTGTCACACACGAACCGAACCCGTTCTTACAGATGGAGTGAGTGTTATTTATAGCTTGATGATGTGACGGTTCAAGAGTTGCTGTATCCAGAATCCTCACTCTGGCCACTTTCACGAGCTGGCCGGGTTCGTGTCCCTTTCTCATGCCAAGTTTCTATTCCCGCCGCCCAGTCCAACTATGATCCATTGCCAACTAGCCCAGCAGCTACCCGCGTACACTACCCACTCCACTCTCCCTCACTCCCACACTTCCTCAGCTCCTATTCCCGCCGCCATCCCCAACTATGATCCAATCCCAAAGCCGTCCCCGTTCATTCACTATAGCCAATTCCCCTTAACTGGCTCCCCTATCATACGTACAGCCCCACTCCCCACAGCACTATCGGCGCAAGTCGCGACGTCCCCGGCGCGAGCAAAAATCGATCATCGGCCACTGCCCCCATTCCACTCGATCAGATCATAGACAGATGCTGCCATTCTTTCCATCGCTCAATGGCAAAATGCTCCCCGGCTCTGATGCACCTTCACCTCCGAACCTTCACCTTCTTGGCCGTCTCGTTGGTGGGCGACCGCTGCCCACTCCGTCATCCTTTGGAGCTGCTCCGGATCCAGCTTGACGCTTGATTCCACGCTTTCCAGCCACTGGCGCTCTGGTCCTTGGATCCGCGGTGCACAATTTGACGTGGTGCCCCGCAAAAACCTTTGTGCGTCCTTTTCCTGGCACTTTCACTCCAATCGCTCCTTTGGTGCCTACCCACTTGACGGTGGCAGGTCCAGCCCATCGTGGCGCTAGCTTGTGGGCTCTCTTCTCCACCCAATAAAGCACGGGATCTCCCGGTTGCAGGCTGGTCGTGTTCCTCCGCTCCCAAGCACGTGCAACCTCCTGCAGCTGCAACACGTGTTGTTGGCGCAGCTGCTCCAACTTCGCCAATCTCGCAGCATTGTCCCTATCAGTGCTCTCGCCCTCCTCTGGCGGTGATGGCACTATGTCACACTCAGCCAGCACATTGATTTCCATTGGCCCCCTGGGCAGAACTCCGTACAACAATTCAGCCGGCGATGCATTGCGTTTCCGCGTGCGGCGCGTGTTGATGGCAAAAAGTGCTCCCACCAACAGATGGTCCCAACGATCCCCTTCGCACATCTTCCTTAATCGCACTAATACTTCCTGATTACCCCTTTCAACCCTTCCATGAGATGGGGGGTAATATGCTGCAGACCAGCTGCGTCGAATCCCCCATTTCTCGCATAAAGTCTGGAATGCACCGTGGAAATGCGCTCCGTTATCCGTATGAATTTTCTGCGGGATTCCAAACTTCAAAATGATTTCGTTCACCACGAATTCCACTGTTGCAGCTGCGGTCGCGTTGGGATACGCACGGGCCATCATATAACCCGTCATTCCATCAATCGCTACAATTATGCAACGGTTTCCAGCTGGCGTCACCGGCATGCCCAATATCCAATCGATCTGGACCCACTCAAACGGCTGCCTCGCAGCCACCGACACGCGATTCCGTGAAGCCTTTCGAGGCCCATGTTGCGCGCAGCGCATGCACTTATCAACCCAGGCGGTGACATCACCTTTCAAAGTGGGCCACCAGAATGCCCCTTCTAGGCGCTTCATAGTCACCTCTTTCCCGTAGTGGCCCCCAAGTGCAGAATCGTGGGCTTGTCGTAGGGCCTTTGGTACTTCGGCCTCCAGAAGGCAAATTGCATAGGTGCCACCTGCCATGCGCTTGAGTAGGCGTCCGCCTTCCACCTTAAACCCTTCAGTTGAAAACACTTCCCTCATGATGCCCTGATACCACTCAGAACTCACAAATCGCTGAATCCCGTCAGTGGGGATTGCTGCCATCTCGTCCTCCGGGTCCATGCCCACTTTCCCTTCGCATTCTCCCATGCGCAACTCAGCACATTCAGACAGATTATCACTCGATTCACTGGGCATCTCATCGTCCACTTCCCTGGCCCAGAAATGGAATTCGTCATCATCAATTTCTGCAGCATTAGGTACGATTTCTGCCGCATTTCCTGCCCTCATTCTGGACATTCCGTCAGCATTGGAATGTTTGTGCCCTTTGCGCGACTGGAACTCAATATCATATTCTGCAAGTATGCATTTCCAACGTGCACATCTCCCAGTCAGATCACGTTTCCGCAGCAGCCCCAAAATCGGGATGTGATCGGTTCTCACAACAGTGGTTCGGCCTAATATGTATGGCCGGAACTTCACTACAGCCACCACCACAGCCAACGCTTCCCGTTCGGTCACTGAGTACGCCCGCTCTGCATTTGTCAAAAGGCGCGAGTGATAATACACAGGGTGCTCACTGCCATCCGAAACCTGAGAAAGTACAGCCCCCACCGCATCGTTACTTGCATCGGCGTCCACAATGAAGGGGCAATTGCAGTCCGGTTTTGCCAACACCGGTGCATGGGTGAGGGCCGACTTCAGCTCCACAAAGGCCCGCTGGTGTGCATCGTCCCATGTAGGCAGCTCAGCGCCCCGTCGCTCTGGGGTCGCCTTGAGCAATTCGGTCAGTGGCTTGGAGATCTGGCCGAAATTCTTAACAAAACGACGGTAGTAACCTGTCATGCCAAGAAAACTTCGCAGCTGCGTTTTTGTGATAGGGATCTCAAAATTCTCCACTTTCTCCACTTTGTCCTTCAGCACCGCCATGCCCCTCGCAGAAAGGGTGTGCCCCACAAACTCCAGCTGCTCAAACCCAATAAAGACCTTCTTGGGTTTGAGTTTCAACTTGAACTCCCGGGAGCGGTCCAGAAATGCGCGCAAATCCCGAGTGATGCTGTCCTCCCCCGTGTGTCCAATGCCCCCATCGTCCACAAACGTCCGCGTTCTTTCCAACCCACCATATGCCCTTGCTACTAGGCGGCTATAACGCGGGGGGGCATTTCGAAGCCCAAACGGCAGCACCGTCCATGCATAAATACCGAACGGTGTCAGAAAGGCTGTAAGGGGGATGGATTCCGCATCGAGTCCCACGGCATAATACCCACTGAACCCGTCTACAGTCGTGTAGAGGGGGTACCCGGACAGATCTTCCACGACTTCATCAATCCGGGGGAGGGGGAAGCGGTCGGGGACAGTCGCTTGGTTTAATGCGACGTACGTACAACAAAATCGCATGTCACCCCCTTTCTTTGGTGGGAATGTCACTGAGGATAACCACTCACAGTCCTTCTCCCACTTTACGATTAGTCCAGCGCTTTCCAAGCTTTCTAGCTGCTTCTTCATGAATTCCAATTCCTTTGGGGCAAATCTCCGCTGAGCACCACAATACACAGGTGCAGCCCCCTCTTTCAGCTGAATGTGAAAGGTCATGGCAGGCGTTCGTTCCAGATCCAAGTACGAGACAGCAAAACAGTCTTTGTACTGTACCAGCAAGTTGCGCACTTCCCTCACCACCGCTGGCGATAACGTGGGGCCAAAGTGGATCTCCGCCAGCCACTCATTTTCCAAGTCGTCCATGATGCTGGGGAGGCCTGCCAATCTGGCGGGGGCCGTGCAGTCCTCCTCGAAAAAAGTGTCGCTATCACTCTCCAAGCCAAACTGCGCCAGGAGCCCTTGAAGGACGCCATCAGCATCACCCTCATCGCTGCTAGACGTGTCTGTCGTATCACTCGTCACTTCCCTCAATTCGCACACAGGACCGGTACAGGGCAGGACCTCCAATTGCCGGCCCCGCTGGCGCACGATCACCCTCCCTGAGCCCAGAGTATACGTACGGGCCTTGAAGTCAGCAGTACTGGCAGTGTTACTTAGCCAGTCTTGCCCAAGGAGCACATCATATGCTCCTTTCGCATCGACGCGCCTCCCCGTCAGTTCCGCGTACACCCCTTCCACCGACACCTTAACGGGCCCCCTCAACGCATGTACCGGCTCGCGCTGTCCGTTAGCTAACTCGATATGCGGCAGGCGTACCGCTGACGCCCTCAGGCCCATCTTGTCAGCACACGTCTTGTCAATGAGCGAGTGGGAGGACCCCGGATCGAGGATCACGCGCTTGACGCCCCGCCCATTCAAAGTACATCGGGCGTGCACCCCATCCGATCCCTGCGCTGCGCGCCCCGCCTCCGTGATCTCACCATCCCCCACTTCCATCGGTTCACCCTTCTCATCGACCTCTTGTTCCGCCTCCTGTACTTTAGCCTTACGCCTTTTGGTGCCGAGTTGGTGCCGAATCGCTAGCACCAATTGCGTGTAGACCTCGCGCTTTGAGATACCGCGCATCATACAGACAGGTATTTTGATCATGTCCCCTACTAAGTCTCGCCAGTCATCCTTCAACACCGGCTTACGGCGCGGTTTCCGCGGAGCGTCCCCCTTTTTCCTTTTGTGCCCATCCGCCATCCGCGCGACCGGGTTACTGTCCCCATCACTCCAAGCGGGCGAGCAGCAGCGATCGACATCCCCCTCTGAATCATCCCCATCGGCGTTCACAAATACGTCAGATTCCCCGTATGCCAGACGCCCATACCTGGCCGGTGCCTGGCCTGCATCCGCGCCTCCGCGCGCGCCCCTGGAGCCCCCCACCGGACCGCGCGGCGCGGCTTTCCGCGGGTGAGGACAATCCCACTGCCCGTGGCCGAGCTCACCGCAGTTCCAGCACTCGCGCGCGCGCCACCCCGCTGGCGGCGGCCTCCT